CGATGCCAATTTCGGAAAAACCGGCAAAAATATATTAATACGACTAAATTGTAGTTGGCAATCTTTAAACAAAGTGAGGAACAGTTGACTGAATTAACATAAATCTGAGTAACATAAGTCATTAAATGGTAGAAGCTAAATTTCGTATGTTGTGTATCATGTAATTTTCAAATTTTCATTGTTTATATGATAGCATAAGTTTTTTGTATTGATTTTTCTAGAAATTGTCTTGGTCTGCCGTCCAGACGCCAATTGTATAATGTGTAATGATATATGATTATTTTATCCATATTTCATCCATATTCGTTCCACGGCTCGCAAACACCGGAAGCATATTCATCCCGTTTTCATTCCATCCATATTCGTCCCATAATTCTTCCACAGCCACTAAGAATTACATTATGCTTCCTATATGGAAGCATTATGCTTCCGTTCCACAGATTTCCCACAATGCTTCCATTATGCTTGCGTCGCGCTTAATCAGTGAACGTGTCCTCGGTAGTATAGTGGTGAGTATCCGCGTCTGTCACATGCGAGACCCGGGTTCAATTCCCGGCCGGGGAGAAATATTTTGTTTTTATGAATTTTTTCATGTTCCCCGCTCATCATTTTCCAAAAAAAATCGAATATTAAATTGTGCCAATTACACGATATTCAAGTGCAGCAATGTCACGAAGGTTTAAATATATATGTCAAAGTGAATTTCGAATTGAACTTTAAATAATTAATTTCTAATAGTCAACAGGTAAACTCATTAATTAAACATTCTCGTGAGTCCATCAACTTCCGTGCCAACTCCTGAGAGTTTTCCTTTGAATATCACACAAATTTTGTTTCGTCTCAAATTTTCCACTTTTTTTTTTATTACGCCACGCATTTTGAGATTTGTCTGGCAATATGACAATTTCTATATAGTATAGAAACATTTCTATATAGTATAGAATAATTTAATTGAAAATGATATGTTCTTTATTGAAAAGTTTTTGGTTTTTTCTCTTTTCGTTTTTTCCTCAATTAGTTATAACAGTTTTAGAAAATTATTTGATTTTTTTTAAATTATTCTACACTTTTAAATTTATTGTGATAGCAGACTGAATTTAATATTTTTCTCAACTACTCAATTTAGTCTAAATTCTGCATTGAAACAGTAAATTGAATATCAAACGTGTTTTCTTCAGAGAATTTTTCGGAAACCAAATATTTTTTTTTTTTTTACATATTCTAAACCGATTCATTTATATGAATTCAACAACATGGAATTGAATGTTTGAAAAACGCGAAAAACGGAATAAAAATTGTTTTGGTGGAATTGAGAATGTGGAATCCAACTTGCGAATTTAATAGGTAGATTTTGTGGTGAATTCCATGTCGGAAAACCAGGTGTGTCACTTCGTCCGGACCACGGTCAAAATATGGATTGGCACACCCCCGCAAATTCCTTATTCGACCGAGGGTACCCGAATTGCCACTGTTTAAATTCGAATTTGAATTACCGCCTCGAAAAAGTGCAATGGTCCACAATATGTCAAAGTGCTCATTTTTTGCGATATTTTCCATAGCCAAACTCTCCAATGACCTTCATTTCAAGAATTTTTTACTCTCGAATTTTGTTTATTCGGCCTAGGCCGGGCTGAGGTTTCAAAACAACAATCCTGGAGGAAACCTACATTTTTATTATTATTTGAAGGCGGGTTTCCAACATTTTTACCCACTTAACTATCAGCTTTATTGCACATTTCTGGTAGCTTCTTTTTTTTTTCGACTCGCACGTTCACGTTCAAATTTTTTCGACGAGCAATCATAAAACAAGCCAATAAACATTCGAATCTTGTGTTTTTCAAAAAAAAAAACCCTCTCGAAGAATTGTGTTAAGTAGGTGCCCAAGTTTATTTCATATCGAGAAAATTTTGCCGAAGCGATCATTCGAATTTTTTTTGGGTTATTTGTTTTTCATTTGAAGCTGGAAACCCAATTTTCAAATAACTCATATGGTGGTGAGAGAAGAACGAACGAACGAGTACTGCTCACATATTTTTCAGATTATATTCTATTTATTTGGGCGCAAAAGAAAACGCTTCGTGGGTGGCGATAAACAAAACAATAATCGAAACGCGGGCCTCGTTTTTTATGGAATATTCAAACAGTCTTTCATTTTTGTTTTTTATGTGTTATCTCCTCTCAATGGTGTTATCCGATTTTTCTTCTTATTCAAAAGTGCGCGAACGAGTCAGAGAAAAATGAGAAAAGTTCCAAGTTTTTGAATGGAGGAAGAGATTCAATTCTTGTTATCTTCGAGACGAATGGGTTTCTCTTTTGAGCTTCTTCTTCTTTGTTATTTTAGTGGATTTGTCTCATTAAACAATTGTCGCCCACATTTATCAATGCACTCGTTTTTCGACTACTTTTTGCCGCACTTTGACATTATGATTTTTTTTTTGCATTCTCTATTGTTTAAAGGCGCATTCCTTTTACTGTCATCCTACAAAAATGACCTTAATAGGGGTTCAATATTGGTTTGCATGAATTCGATACAATTTTGAGGTTGTTGCGATAAGACAATTTTATTTAGTTCTCATCAAGATCAAAAACTCCGATTTTATATGAATACAAATTAGACTACTTTCTGCCTTCCATCAGAGAAATCTCAAGCATTTCAAACGTCATGTATGGCTGATTTGCTTTCTTGACTCAATTCTTCAGGTCTCATTCGATTGAAGATCATGGAAACCAGGAATCGTGTGCAAAAAATTGAATTTATAAAACTCGGTGGTTGAATAGAGTTTCCGTTGTGTTGCAGAATGAATGCATATACATAATAGTTTCTCCGAAAATGTTCGTTGTGAGCGAAGGAAAAATTGGCAATATTCTGGAAGCTCAATGAAATTGGTTTTTGTCGAAAATTGAAAGTTGAAAAAAAGGGCAATTTTAAAGTCTAGTCTGAAAATAGAACACATGAAATCGTAACCATAGGAAACCCAAATGTCAGCCACCATTTATATCCACCTTCCCCCTACAAATTTTGTTCGCTCCGTTTTTTCTCATATTCCAGCTTGATAATGCGATTCGATATGGTCAACCTCTTCTTTTTTCTTGAATAACTTGAAAACGATTGTATTTTGAGTTGACTTGACTCATTCGTTTCCAATATCAAGAAGCTCGTCTGGAATCCAATGAATGTTTATATAATGTGCTTATTAGGAATGCATTTACTTATATCCTTTTTCTATGTAGTTTTTGATCTGTGCTGAGCATAAATTTGCTGCTCGTTCGTCTACATCCAATCATTTTTATGGCCGGTGTCGTGCGACTCACATTTTTCCTCAATCTTCACGTGAACACATCGAATTACTCATCCAATGTTAATTGTTTCGGGTATTGTTTAGTTTCGCCGCATCAATAAGTGCTGCGGACAATTTGCAAGGTCGCATCTAAATTCGATTTATGGAATCAGATAATCAATTTTATTAAATGGAAGTAACTTGAACAAAAACCAATACCAATGAAATAATGCTTCCTGGAAGGTGTTGATCTACTTTTCTCGTAAGCGTTTCTGCGAAAATTTGTTTCCATGTTAATTACAAGCTCGTCATTTTCTTCTTCATCCTTGTGTAAAGGCGCATCACTTCTGGGAAATTATAGAAATAAAATTTAAAAACAAATTTATAGAACTGATATCCCAAGGTTCTGTTCTTGAAATATTTACCAATTATCAAAAATTTTGAATCATAAAACATCTATAGTCGGCGTCCGTAGACTGCTGTACGCGGGTAGATTTACGGGAATGCGTCTTTCGTAATGGTCTCGCAGGGACAAACAGGTTTTTTCAAATTTTATGGACCGGTTCGATAATATTTTAATCGAATGACGTTGGAAATTCACGAAAATGCGAAACTAATCTAGAAAAATGAAACAGTTTACGTGAAAAAAAGCAAAATAAGCATTCACGCGTGGCGAGAATTTTTCAAGGCGCATACGCGTAAATCTACCCGCGTACAGCAGTCGCCAGACGCCGACTATATACAACTATGAATTTATCACATTGACTAACATCTGTGGACAATATGAGGGTTTGAAATGTCCGCAGCTAGATATCGTTTCCCACATGGTAAGTCATAAATCCAAAATTGTTCAAGCATTATTATCGAACGTACGCTTGGCGCGTCTGAAAGTGTCTTTTATTCCGCTTTGTTGAACTTTGAATAAATTATAAACCGCGGTTCTTCCTTTTTCTTCTTTCATTCATCATTTGTTATTACTCTCACTTCAATTTTGAATACAATTAGTCTCAAATTTTTTCCTTCATCGTGCTCTCGAATACAAATTCCGCCATTTTCCTTCCGCATTGCTTTCGAAAGAAATCCTTGCAAAAAAATCCCAAAAAATGTGGGAGTGGCTATGGGTTATGCAATTATTTCTTGGTGCGCATTCAGCCGCATAATTGGTAGTGTTTCGGTCGAAGTGATTGTCTCACACATATTTTTTTTTCTCGTGTGTGCTCAAAACCCACTTATTTTTCCCTCCTCGTCGTTTTTACTACTAATCAAGTTAGCCTAACAAGCGCCAGTCAAATGCAATTAGAGGGCACACTGCATAATAGGCCAGAAAAATAGAAGATTCCTATTTACGTAGAAATACAGTATACCAAGTAGCTGCCGAAGACACGAGGTGTCGGCAAGAAATTAGAAGCACATGAAACCCGACGTCTGCCAGTTCATTCGATTACGCAGCTCAATATTCCAGGCCAAGAAATGTCTTGTGAACCAAAATACTCAATTAAAAGAAAAAATGTAGAAAATGACTCAAGCGGCAATCAGATTGATTTTGCAAATAATTCAGTGGTAGTATACATATACGACCCATGGGTTCAATTTCCGGCCGCAGCGAATTCTTCTTCTTTTTTCTTCATTCATTTTTTATATGAGAAATGACGTTGACATCCAAACTGAAGGATTTATGATATCTTTGAATACATTCATGAATTCAAAGTTCTTATTTTTCAGATGGAGGCAAACGAAACATTTCCAAACGGCGATTGCGAAGAAGATCCTCCACAAGCAGATCCATTTCGTATTATCCTGATTGTCGGCATTGGGACAACCGTGTGCATAATTGGTATCATTTTAGGGCCTTGAAAATATAATTATAATTATACATATATTTATGTATTTAATTCAGGTATAATTCTCAATGCCTTCCTTCTGCTCTCGCTTAGAAAATTGCCGTTCATCAGAAGCAACCTTCTTTATCTATTTCTCCTTGCTGTTTTAGATATAATCGTCGAAATTTGTTTCATGGTAATTGTCGTGTTAAATCGAATCCATCAATCGTCAAATTTCAGCTCATTTTTCCAGTTTCCCTTGTTTGGGACTACTATCGGGTCGAATTCTTATATCGCTATTGGCATTATTATATCAAATATGTCTCAACAATCGGGCAGGTATTTATTATGTACAGTCAGTCAGTTCAATTGTCGATTAAAAGGTGCTCATTGCTGCCTCGACGTTGCTCATCGTAGCAGCTTCATTCGAGCGCTACATCTGCTCTCTTCAATCATCGATGCAGTTTTCGGCTCGTCGTCGCTTTTTCTGTATTGTAGTCGTAGCGATGTGCTCATTAATAATGAAAGTGGGCAAACACGAAAATTTCGTTGGTACTAATGGTGAATGATTTGAGGGATCCGTATTTTTTGAGCTCGAACTACAATTTATTCCCGAATGTCCGCCATTTCAGAATCTAAGATTGGATTTGTCTGAAATTACTAGAAGGTCAGACACACTTAATGCAGTTTTCAAAAGGATCTTTTTTTTCAGTGAAAGTTATAAAACGATTTGGATGTTTTGGTGTCGTTCGACATTCAATGTGTTCCTCCCTTTCGCACTTCTCCTAATTCTCAACTCACTAACAATCACGAATCTCAACAAGCTTCATGTCAACGGATTTCAGTCAGTTTTAGTCGAGGTATGAAGACGATTTTGTTGCTTATTTGCTGTGTGAGCTAGATCTGCTTGGAAATTCTTTTTTTTTGCTGCGTAACCGCTTTGACCAACTACTAACTCTATCGCTTCCCGATCAAATTGCTTTATTGCGTTTTCAGATAAAACAATGCTTTAAAACCTGTTCAGAAACGTTGTCAAAGTGTTTCAACGGCGCATTCGACGCACCATTTCCGCAATTGTTCCAATTCGGAGGTGCCGTATTCGTATTGTCCGCTTCTGACCGATCCGCAATCGTCGACAATGTCGAGTTTCAACAGTTTTCCGACTGAAAGTGATGTGAGCTTATCGAGCACATTTCACCAGCCATGCATGCAAGCAACATCCGATTTTTGTTAGTTGCAATGCCAGTAGTTTTAGTTCATCGTTTTGTTATGCCATCGCTTCTAAACCTATATGTATCATCTATTTCATTATTCTGATAGTTCAATTAAAAAATAAATAAATAATGCATTTTCAGCAAATGCCGACTCTACTTCGTCGAAATTCTGAAGCTGGAGCAGCGCGACGTCGAAAACGCGACGCTACTCGAACATTAGCAGCTCTCATCACTATTTATTTGCTCACGAATACCCTCAATCTGCTAATCACAATCATGGAATTCATCAATACTGACATGTTGAGAGCATTGAACGAAGGATGGACATACAAGTACGAATTTGATATGACGCAACAAATTTTCGTTGAACGAAATGAAAATAATGAAATTCGCAATTTGTCGCGCAAATATGCAAGTTCGCGCGAATGAAGTATTCAATTGCCGGAACAATTCAATCCCATCGAATTTCAGATATCTCGCCGATCTTTCTTCCGTCCTCACAATCTCTTCTACCGCATTCCGATTGCTCGTCTATTTTCATTGCAATCGCGACATTCGGGCTCAAATTCGAGATTTCGCCAAATCGTGTTTTGTTGCAGAAACGAATAAAATGAAGCTGGTAATAACTGGCTTACTATCTATTGTTTTTTTATCAAATTTTTTAGAAGAAGCTTTCAACACCAATCGTGACGTCTTCAACAGAATGTGTGTTGTAATGAATTTCCAATATTTCATTCAAGTTTACGGGTCTTATACTATGTATATGTACATGATATCACTTAATTTTACACATAATAAAAGTTAATTGACAAGCATTAAATATCTTCAAGTAATTTACATAGATTAGTCTCTTTCATCAATAAAAACCGTTTGTTTCTGGGTGCGATCTGATAGTCGGTCGAAATCGTTTATTCATTTCTCCTCCTCCATGTTTTTGTTGTTGCCTTTTCATTTCTAAACTTACAAGCTACGAAGAGAACCAAAACATAAAACTTACGAAGTTTTTCGTATCGAAGTTCAACGATAAGTCGAGTATCGGCAGTTTGATATTCTACCATTTTCGGATCCTTTATTTCCACTTCAGTAACACCACGCAAGCGAGAACCTAAAAAAGAAATATGTCTTAAATTTTTAAATAAACTAAAAATATTTTTAGGAGTTTCTATAGAACTCTTTAAAAAAAACTGAATAATTTTTTCCACACTGCTTCCATCTTTTCCTTCTCTTGATAAAGTCGAAAAAACTTTCCGCATTCCCCATAAAAATAAATTTGGTGGCATTATTCGCAATATTTACCAATATCACACATTTTATTGCCGTTTCGATGGGAAAGAAATAACCTGATGGCGAATGTTCGTACACTGCTTTTTCGCCGAGCCACGATCTCAAAGGCATGACTCGATTACGTTTCGAGCGACGCAGTCCAGCGATTGGTGGCTTTTCTGGAGGAACTGTAATCGATTCATTTGTCATTGTGCTATTAATTAAAATCGGTAAAGCTCTCACTAATTTCTCGGGGTTGAAGAACCAAGACCGAATGTCGTCGTTCGACTTCCAATACTGTTGAATTTGATTCGAACGAGTCATGTAATCTCACACTATCTCCATTCATTTCGTTATCGCTGACATTTAGAGAATCGTCCATTAAAACCGAAAAGTTTTCTAGGCATATTTGACATTTTCGTACTCAAGCAACTTCATTAGCATACCTCTTCCGCTTGCCGATCTATTGGGTGCATCATTCTCATCAATATCCTCATCTTCATTGAGTACACCATATGGGTCAATATACTTTATAACATCTTGAGTTGTATTCAAATTTTCTCGGCTCACCATTTTATCAGGCGTTGAATTCAAATGACTAGAATCAGAAACTTCTTTCGCTTCAGCTTCCGGCTCTGAAAACGATTTCATTTTCAGAGCAACCTTTTCCAATTTACCGTTTTCGGTCGAACTCGTTGATGTTTCCATATTGTTATCGGGCATACTTTCATCTATTTCCGCAATTGGAAATGCCTCAACATTTTCGAAAACCGGCGCGACTGCAGTTTCAGAGGAATGAGTAGGCATCGATCGATTTCGAGGTGTTGAAAATCGAGGTTGAATCGAACGACCTCGTGTCGGAGTCAGCAATTCAAGAACTGGCGAATGCACACTTTTCAATTGTGAAGAAACCGTTGGTTTTAAGTAATTCCTCGTTTGCGTCGTTAAATTTATCTGAAATTTTGAATTTGCTCATTGAAAATTAATAAGCGCGAACGTTTTTTCTGCTAGGAGTCACATCTTGATTAAAAAGCGACGATTCGGCAGCTTTCGAAAGCTCGCTTCCTTGTTGAACGGACATATTTTTGAAACTTTGCTCGAGGCGAGCTAAAAATTTGAAATTGTCTTCGATGCTAATATTTCGCGATTTTACGATCTTCGACTGTTGTGCACTTTGATGAAATCCCTCTTTTCGCAGATTTTTGGAAAAGTGCAGAACCGTGAGTCGGCGGGCAGCTGTTCACCAAGGATTTCTCCTAGATAATTGTTTTAAGAAGGCTCGAAAACTCGTCTTACTCTTGTTATCCGATCATCCTTTTTCGCATTTTCCGTTTCAATTGTTGGCTCATTTTGGGATAAATCAATATTGTCGTTTGGTAATACAGCGACCAAATTCTTAAAAATTTGATTAATGTTTTTATTGTACAATATTTCAACCTTCTTTGAATATAGATTGTTAGTAGAATTCACAATGCTTGAAACATTCAAATTTCGAAAGGTTAGACTACTATTCGACATGGATGTCTGAGTTGGTGTCGAAGTCATAATGTTCTTGTTCGCACATGGTGCCTCATTCTAGAATAGCAAAAGCTTATATTTTTTCGAATTCAATTTTTACGTTTGTGCTACTGAAAACACCACGACTAGATCCAGTTTCCGATAAAGAGGGAATTCTTTTTCTAACAAGTTCCGCAAAACTCGTTGTTCCACTAAGACGAGATTCTAATTTTTCACGATGCTAAAAAAAACAATTACGAATATTTGAAATATTGATAAATTTCAAATCGAAATTACATCTGTGAACCGCTTCGCGGATATTCTCGCCTTGTTCTGAATATATTCGTTAACTCTTCCATTTCGACGAGCTTCTTTCAAACTGGGCGACTCAATATCAGTAGTTTCTTCGTTTTCATTATTTTCCTTAAAAAATAAAACTGTAACAAATAAAGGGAATGTTGTAAAATACAGAAGCTTCGCTAACGAGCATTGAAGATTCGTCGCTGTCATCTCCATATAAAGCCCAGGCATGATCCGCATTCAAGGTTCTCTTAAAAACGAGCAATTAGATTCATAATTCAAAAATATACTTGCCCTTCCCGGCCGAACCAAGCTTTGTCGAGACATCTCTGAAATTATTTCATTAGTACATAATCACTTTCACATATCTGAATTTTCACACGTGTTTCGAACTTCCCCTATTACATTAGATCGTTATCGGTATAATGACAAGTAAACCACCTGAGAACCCCCCGTCAGATTGATTTATCCGCTCTAATCAAGATAAGCAATAAATTGTGCACAGTGGTGCACACATTTTACAATCTCATCTCTCACCTCGCAGTTTGCCCAACAACAAAACAATAACATTGTGATGTTTTACGAGCTTATCTATGACAATCATCTTGCGCACCTTGAGTGACATTTCGCAGAAATTAGTTTTCCGTTTCACCATTATTCTAATATATAAAAAGCGGACGATCCAATTTGAGTTTTGGAACAAAAAAATGAATCGTAAATTTGACGCTTCAGCAGTTTTGATGAGCGCCGTCGCGCCTTTACTGTAGTTTTTTGTCCGTGTCATGTTGTTCATAGCGCAAATCTATTTCAAAGGTATACGACATGTCACATTTTTCGAATTCTCGTTCCGCCATTTTAAGCCGCGTTTAATAACTCAATATATACGTTTTATTTATTATATTAGTTATACCCTATTCTAAATTTAATCAATTCGCTAAACTTTCGCTATATGCGAAATCGTATTTTAAGAGTTATGGAAAAAATATCTAAAAATAATTATAAATTAATATTCTCTTAGCGACCTAGATAAAATTCTATACAACGTTATGAACCTATTCATGAATTGAAAAAAAATTGTGCCGTGGAAACGGCGCACAAACGCGAGATCTTGTGAAAACACAAATGTCCACGTCTCAAAAAATCACGTTTCATCGGGGATTCACCAGCGTTTCAACAACATCCGCAATTTTATGATCAATTATAATAATTTTTTTTCATGAATAAGTCCATAACGATTACATTCTACTAAAATAAATATTTTCTGAAATCTGATTGAAAGAAGCAGAAAATTAATATATAATTACAGTAACGTAATTTTATCGAGACCATTTTCGAAAAATTCAATGCGCCTTCAAAACCTTATTGCAAAAGTGGTTAGAGTTTTTCCCTTTTCCGTTATTTTATTGCTATTAATGAAAAAACTCACTTTATCTATTAAGATTCAAAGATAATGAAAACAATGCAGTTCCTGAATTTAGAAATGAGCGTTCCTTTTAGCTAAAGAAAAATGTACATATGTCGTAACCTTTACCGCAATTTTCTGAGTAGTGTTTGCAGACGAATAACTTATTTTCCTCAAAAATTGCTTGTTCAATTAATATTGTTTTTTTTTGCAAAAATTTGGAAACATATTTATTTTTTAATTAATTAACGTTTATTCAAAATCTTTATAAAAATTATCCCCAGCCACCAAAATAATGATGTTGTTAATTAAAATTATACACTGCAGTGGCAACATTTAATTTCCCCCATCGGAAAAATAATTACCGCTTGTAGACAGAACCTTCACAGCAATTTTTATAGTGTTTAAAAGTGTAAAATCCCTATTATCCCGCATTTATTTATTTATTCCATATAAATATATTCGATTTATTTGCGAGAATTTCTCACCAACCAGGCCCCGCCCTCGCCCAGCCATCGCGCGTGGCGATGGGAGGTGTCTGTGGTGAATACGCGTGTCTGTCCCCTCCCCTTTCTACCCGCCTCCACCGTCATTTTGTTCAAGAGACTCCCTAGTGCACATTGGCGTAGTCTTGCTCATTTTTTTTTATTATATTAATATTCATTAATGATAATGATTATGCATTATTTTAATATTTAGTATTTATATTCCACCTTCCGTATACCTTTTTGCTATACTTTATTTTTTTGCAGGAATGTTGCCATCAACCCTCATAACTACTTGTATTCTTATCACATTTTGCGAAGGGTTTGAACACGTCTTTTCATGGAACTCATCGAATACACAGTACGTTTATTTTCATTTTCCACATCATAGTTTCCTTCTTGGTTTGTTTGCTGGACAAACTTCAAACAGTATAGTTACCGCATAAGTACCTTGCGGTGCGCGAAACGTTTAATCTTATCAATTCCTTGTTTGCTCGCAACTTTATTGCTCTTTCCCGCTACTGTGAACGGCTTGATTAGATTAAAAGATACATATTTACGGGGGTTTATTATTTGGTTTACGATAAGGGGAATATTTTGATTTTCTTGATCGATGCATTGGTGTTGACGTCGGCACCAAATGAAGGTGACAGGCATACGACACACGCGTAGTGTCTTGGCACCTGGATTCTGTTCACACTTCAAGAAATCCTTTGTAGGCGCGATACCGGCAATTATTCCGAGGTTGCATTAATACATAACTTTCGCCCAAAATGAATGCAAAAGGGCACCCGTTCTCTCAACCTGGTGTTGTTATGCAAATAAGTTGCGAAAACTGTCTGTCATCCGCGCGAACACATACATAGATGGAATTATATTTATATAAATATGATTTGGGTGGTAGGGGCAACGGAAATCTCCTCGAGCATGCACCCGCACACAAACACACCTTGAAGCAGGTGCCAAGCTCACTCGCTAATGGATATAAGGTGTCAAAACAATAATGAAGCTTGACTACTTGTGTGCATATTAAATGGTGTTGTGGTGCGAAGAAGTGAAGTGGGGATTAATCTCTCCGTCTCGAATGCATTTGCAATTTATAAAAAATGGAATGCTGATGAAAAACGATCCGCACTTTCTGGCCGTCTCAATGTTTTTTTTTTGTGCGCCGTCTTCGCCCTTCTGTCGCGCCGACACAGACATCCAAGAAGAGGCAGCTGTTTCTTTGAAACTTTCGCGGCTCGAATAATTTGTCTCGAGTTTCCCAGCGGCTCGGCAATTAGCATGTCAAGATTCGACGGTCTGATTGCGCGTTGCTGCTAATCTGTGACACGCTCAGATTTTTATCGATTTTTGATGCTTGTTGCATGACCGGAAATCGAGGAGGGGGGTCATCGCAACATATTGGGATTAGATATCACCAATACACATTTGTTTGCCAACTTGAGAGTTTATGAATGAGGTGTTGCGCAACCCAGGTGCCAATCAACAGATGTAGAAGAAGAAAATAAGAAGTATGGCACATCCATCACAGTTTGTTTATTTGTTTGCTTCTTGATATCGCGTTTTGTCATAGCCTATTAAGAACAAAAAAATGAGAGGGAAGTAGCTTGTTTTTCTCTAGACTTTTCCGCTTCTCCGATACTACTAATGCATCTTGATAGTAGGCAAAGGAGGTATAAAACTGAGCAGATGTTTTGCATGTTGTTTTTGAAGAGCTTCCGGCGAATTTTCATTTGAAGTGCAAAAGCGGATAAACCCGGGGAATTAACGAGCAGATATTAGAAGATTAGCTTCATTCAAGTTTTTCGTCGTTTTTTTTTGGAAATGAATTATTCATATTTGGATATATAAAAAAGGTGATTGTCTAATTGAGTACTAATAGGTATTGTATTGCGAAACTCATTGGATTTTAGTGCACTGAGACATGCGCCATATTCCAATATATCCTAGTAATATTTGAGTCAGTCACGCACTCTTCATAACGAACAGTTGGAAGATTTATGATATTGAGTGGGGGCGCATTTGAAAAATGATTAGTCGTCCTCCTGATCCTCCAATCGAATTTCCATAAATCGTTTGACCTTCGCCTCGCAGAAAGGAAGGAATGGAACCCGTGCAGAATTTATTGAAGAATGTATGATTTACGTGTTTTTGGCGTGCGCGGCGACGTGAATGCGCATGTCTTTTCTTTCGTTTCGCCTTATCGGCTCCTCGGCAGATGTTCACCACCTCATTATACGGGCGCGGTATTCTTGTGGGCAACGGAAAAGTTTTTTGAGTGGGCTCAATTGCCGCGATCTTATCGCGAGGCGACGGTGATTTTGACTCAGAGATTCGGAAACCCTCCTTAAAAGGTGTGACTCATCTATTGTGACATTTGAAAATGTCATGAGAATGTTTGCAAAACCGAACAGTAGACGCAGTGGAAAAAACCGAGCCATTTCTTTGTCTTGAAAAAAAAAACGTTGCGTGTCTCGTTCGCCGCCACCGAAAAAGGGCCCAAAGTTGTGACGCAACCCATCGCTTCTTTGTAATATAGATATCAAGTTTTGGCATTGGGGTCTGCTGCTACCTTTTTTTTGCGGTAACGGCCTCCTGTTGTGCGCGTCAGGTTTTTTTCTCTTAAACCTCATTGGCCATTTCTTACCGCGTTAGCCGATATGTCAAATTTCATAACGTGACGGAAATGTGATATTTGTGTTCTGGGATAGATTCGATTCGATTCTCATGGCGCGCGTTTTCACATTTGCATATGAGTGCCGGGATCCCATCATAAACTTTCGTCGCGGGGCTATTGATGGTTTTTTTCTGACTGTGTGTGTGTATGTGCATTCTTTCGATGGACCCGAGTTGACGACTGCCGGGGCCATTGTGAGATCGACGAATCATAATAATAATAATAACAACAACAAAAAGGAGAGTAGAGCGCGCGCCGGCGTACGGAAGATTTACAGGCAGCCGGCGCACCGAGTCTGTGCTTTGAAAGTTGCCGCCTCAAGAACTCGGACCTATATAATAGATTTGTCGCTGTCGATAATCGTCATCTAATAATTAGGCGAACGTTACGAGTTCTCCACGAAAACGGTTAATCTGTAAATTAGTAGGAGATTTTACCTGCCGACCATCTGTCGGAAAAAATGAGATATGATCCGAGTAAATGGTCCGCATTGCGAGGGAATTCAATCAGATTCCCCGTTTTAATGAAGTGCTTTTGGAGCAGATTCAATAACGAGCCCAAACAATTAAGTCATTTTGAGTGACACCAAAATGAAGTGCGACGTTAATCCTGATAAGCAGTTAATTGGTGGCCACTTTTGCCAACGGCCCCACTCATTGTTCTAATGGAGATGCATCCCAGATTGTCTGTGTATGTGTGGTGTTTAATTGGTGGCGAGACTTATGCAAACTGACAGCCTGTTGCTTGCTCACCGGAACCGAACATATGGCGGCATAAGCATCTAAAAAATGCGAATGGTGTGTTTGTGTTTTTTTGGTTTGCGGTTTCCGGCGGGGGATCTAGATATTCGAAACATTTGTATAGCTGCAGCAATTTGCATTTATTAGGTAACACTTGCTTGGCTTCTTGACACACACACACATGCACATATAAAACGCGAGCATTTTAGATAAATTGAAACGTGATTGCCTGCCCTCCATATAAACACACACATACACACACCCAATTGCTTTCGGATATGGGGTCTTGGCGATTTTTGCTCGAGCGTTATACGGATAGCGGCGAAATTTGAGATGAGGGGGGGGGGTGTTTTCCTTGCGCGATTTGTCTCCTCATTACGGTTTTAGTCGGCTTAATATGCAGCGGATGTCGGTTAATTACCTGCATTCGACAAGCAGGCACGGACAACACGGGTTCTGCGCGAGGTTTCCGGATAAACAAGAAGGTCCTTATTTGGCTATTTCGACTCTTATTATACCGAAAACGAATAATACGATGGGGGACCTTCTTGTTAAAGAGTTTGTTGAGAGCTCATTGACATGCTTGCAACATTCGCCGTTTGGGATTAACCTGTGTAGTCGGGTTTTGTTAAGTGCCATTGACACGTTGCTTCTGAAGCGCACTCGGTTTGTTTGCCCGAAGGCTTTAATAGCTCGAAATGGTAAGATGAGCAACTGGCTATTCAAGTATAGCATTTCACAAAGAGATGCTCGCCGAGTTGGCTAACCACACCATTCGAAAGTTGAATAAGACCGGGGGTGGGGGATTTCATTCATGTTTTGCAATGAATTGTGTTAAATCAAGGTTGAACCTATTCAAAGGTTGAAACCTTGAAACTTTCTGAGAAAATCGCTTCAAGATATTTTTTGTCGAAACTAGATTAAAAGTGGTGAAGAATTGAGTTTGTCATTGAAGATTGGAAAGACGTGGAATTTCGTTCATTCGGAAAGCTATGAAAAAATCATTGGAGAAACATGCATATTTTAGTCTTCTAATGATGAACCTAATTTGGCACTCTATTTTCTCTTTTTTGTATGCAAAAATTAGTGCTAATAAGTGCATGATCTTATCTTGTCATCTGCTCCCATGTTGCGTTTATTTCAATCCTAATTTGCCGCAATTATATTATTGCGCCAGAACATCGTTTTTTTGTTTCCGTTTTCTTGTTGTCATCATCATTCAGTTCCTCGCCGTTCGTATACAGGAAGTTTGCGGAATGTGTCGTCAAAAGTGTCACACAATATTGACGCCTCGATGAGTTTCGATCCTAATTTGGTCGGCGAACGATCCGAGATTGATTGGATTGATTAATAATTGGCATGACACTCTACCAGTGATATTTATACGAGTCTATGTCAAAAAGTTTTCTAGTTGGGGGTATCATTCTCGGCAAGCTGTTGTTGGAGATGTGTGTTTGTCATTACGCAATTCGAGTTGACCCGATGCTCGGCGTCCGGCTGTTCCGGCAGCTCCAAGTGCGCGTGTGTGCAAATGCGTTATGAATTTTTAACAATGTTTTTCGAACGACTTAAGTGAGATTTATTGGTGACGACTCGGCCGGGATTCGTGGGAACCATTTTTGGGCTTTTGTTTTTGTCGCCCCTTCTACTTACTAGTGGTCAAGCAGGCTCCGACGGGTTGTATACGAATATATTCTCTCGAATATGCGGCCGCGCATTATTTGCATTTCATCACCGCTCATTTCTATCCATATGAGGGGAGTATTGTTGGTGAGCGAAAAAATTGGAAGAGCTCTTCACCCTTCGAAATAAATTGTGTTTAAAATAAGATAATTGAGTTTTGAAGCGGGGTCGAAGTGAGTTGGGAATGTGGGGGGGGGGACCGACCGGAAATGGAAAACGAAACACGATATTTGGTCTTCTCTACTGCGAAAAGTTGTCGTATCGCTTCATTTGGTTCGGAATCCACCATCCTGACGCGTAAATCAATGTTGCGTAGATAAGGCGACGATGAGACAAGGATACTGTAGTCGTGCGCGGGATCATAACTTTGTAATTTATAGATTTTTGTGCGCGCCCTGGGTCTATAATTATCCAAGTTCTCCGTTTTTACGATGCCCAGGTGTACTAATGCTGCACGCGGGACTAGCATTAATTCGATGTGACACTTTCAACAATTATGCATCATTTGAAAATTCCTCATGGCGACCTCTCACGCAATTCCGTTCCATTAGGTTTTTTCTGGGATGTCTGTCATCATTTGCATGGCTCATTTCTTTGAAGGTTAGCACAGTATTTCGCGCCGGGAATAAAGGCATTGTGCCATTCGTGTGGACAGGTGTCGAGCAGGAATGTTGCCAAAACATTGGTCGAGAGGGGTTAATTGCTAATAATGGGTTCGGCATGTCTCTTGCTGTTTTTTTTTTTCCGTGAGTGGAGGCAATTTGAAAATTGCGAACATTGTATGGGCAGCCAGCTGAGTCACAATGAATGATTAGGTTGGGTAAATAGTGGTGGGCACCTGTCATGTACAAATTATTTGATGATGATGATGATGGTGGCGAGAATGGATTGAAAGCCGAGGGTAGAAGGCAGGTGGCATTAAGCCTTCTTGTTAACGAGAATGTGTGAAAAGATTATATAAGGAATTATTGGCTGAATTATGAAAAAGCGAACGATGCATGTCAACAAGGATTTTATTGCCACAATCAACGAATCGAATGAGGCTTTTAAGGGGGTATCGTAGGGAAGCTTCCTTCCTAGGGCGAGCGACTCGGCGGAGAGTATTTTGAGGGATCATTTCATTATTTTTTCCCCTTTCTTTGTAAAATCTGTTTCTGTTGTGGTTTGTTTGTGTCGAAAAGGTTTCAAAATCGTCGGCCATTGATCCGTTTGTTATTGCGACGATCTTCATGAAATTTGCATAATCACGGCTCCTGCTGTGATCCCGTAAGATTTACAATCGCCTGTATATTTATGCACATCAAAGGCGCTCGCCGACGGCTCTTTATCATTCATGCCCTATTAATGTTCTCATTATGTGTCCGGTGGCTGTAAATAAGTCAAGTTGATAAAAGAATTAAGTGGCCGAATGGAAAGTGGACAGCAGCCCTATTCTTTTGGCACACATGTCACTATCTTTTTGTAATGACCGCGAAAGAATGACGGGTGCCATAACAAAGAAAGGAGTGGGGTTAACGCCGATATCTCTCTTTTGGAACCTAATCCACTTTCCGCCAAATGGTGCGGTTCAATGGGCTTTGAAACGGCACCCGAGATTAGTGACACCGCCAATTAGGGCAGATTGCGTCATTAATTTATCGACGAACGCGATCTTTTTGAGGTTAATTTAATGATTTCAGGTTCAAAGCATCGCGTGATCCTACGATCGACGTCCGTCTCGGAGATGTTATGCGATTTGTGTGCCCGGACAACTCGGAAGGTGGTCGAGCGGAATATCTCATCGTGTATGAAGTCAGCGAGCTGGCTTATAGCGAGTGCATTATCGAATCGACGTCGAGAGAAGTGCTCAATTGTGGCCAAGAATCGATGTCGGAGAAAATCGCCAGAACTCAGGGGAAAGTTGGAAGAAAATTTCCACCGAAGAGCACTTCTCAACTGATTAGACAGTTCAATCCGATTCCGAGTGGAAAGGAATTCCAGCCTGGACAGACTTATTACTATATTAGTAAGTTTTAACTGATTATTCGAGGAAAAAAATTACCTACAAATTGAACCATGCTAAACGTTTCTATTTTAAGCCACTTCTACCGGGAAACTTGATGGAATCGACAAGATCAATCGCGGATTGTGTCTCAGCGCGAATATGAGACTTGCCTTGAAAGTTTCTCCGGCGGCTCCAATTTTCCCTTCGAGACCAATCGTTCCTAGAATTGAGAAGCCGGAAAGTGACGAAGATGAAGATTCCGAAAATGACTCGCAATTGCTTCCAAGAGATCTTGAGAAAAGCATGAAGGAAAAAAAGCAAGGTATAATTTGAATTTATTGATGCCTATTAGTATTTCTCTTTATTTTCAGTTAGCCCGAAATTCCGCAGACCTTCGGAATTCAATGAAGCTGGTGTTCATGATCAACAATTTTTGAAAGTTGTGCAAATGGCGAAAGAAGGAAAGACTGGAACATTTGAGAACGCGAAAGAGCGTGCAACGACGAGACCATGGGATCCCATCAATGTTCAATATGTTTCGGATGTCCTCCAGAACACTTACAGTAAGAATACGGGTTATCAAATATTTTTGTATCAATTTTCTTTTTTTTTCAGACGACGACAATCTTTCGTACCAAAGAGAACTCGATTTTGTCATTCATGAAGATAACAATGGTAAATTGATTTTCAAGTTTTTCGGAATTCGAATCTTATCTCAATCATTTCAGTGCGATCCTTGGAATATTCTTCCTCGACTGCAGCTTCTACCCTCTTCTTGGTCTTCGCGATTATCCTTTTGCTGTGCTGAAACGTGTGTTCCGTTGTACTCGTGTCCAGTCACGGTTTCCGCCAGTAACTGTGATAATTGTTATTATGCGGCCAATTGTTGTTATTTTTGCCATTTCTTCTCTCCCATATCCTAATGCATTTCGACGACGACATTCAGGGTGTTTCGGTTCTTTTTCTTTCTTTCGTCGGGGAGGCTTTATCCGGTTTTGTCTCGATTGTTGAGCCACGGGTTCTCATTGCTTTTTCTTAATTTTCTTTTTCTTGATTATCCCGTCCCAATTACTAATTACGAATAGATTACATTGACTAGATTTTACATTGTTTGTATATAGTTTAATGAATCATACAGTATAGTAACAACGTGTTTAAAATGTTCAAAATTCGGAAGGCTTGTAACGAGCCCAAACAGTCTGGCCAACGTGGATGTATCCCTGAAATAGAGTTGATTGGAGGAAGAATGACGACTTAAAACCTCTTTATTGAGACCTGCGTTAACTCCGAAGATTGGACTATCCTTGAACTCTTTTCTCAATTTTCCGTCTGGAGCAAGACGATATCTGCAATGTTTGAAAAACGATTTCTTCTCGGAAATACTTCATGACTCACTTTCTCAATTTTCGAAGCGGTTGCATATTTTTATCCTTTTTGCCGGTTTTTGGATCAACAGTTGTCAAAACACACCTGAAAATTGGAACACTACAATTTTCGACGATTTTCACAGAAGAAACAAATTAATAAAAGATCCACGTGAAGAATAGCTTCGAATCGATTTTTTCTTTTCCAAAACTGATAGAATTTTTTCCGATCGGTCTTTGAAATTTAATATTAATGGTTTGGAAAGCATTTTCAATACGAATAGCCGAGTGGAGAAAATAAATTATTTTCGGGAATATTTAATTTGTACGCTGATTCTTTTTTCTAAATTTAAAATTTCTACCGCGTGCAAGGTTTGAAGCACTGAAGCTCAACATCGCCGATGCGAAGATCGAGCCATTTGTCCTCGTCCCAAGCTGGACAATCGCTGATAACAATACACGGACGGAAATTGACCGAACTAACCTATATTCGTCATTAATATTTCATTTGGATTTTGGAAAACATACATAATTGTTTAGATGACTGTTCAGATCCTCTAGTGACGCTTCTGTTGTGATCATGTAAGGCGCCAAATCCGCATAAGCTGTCTACAGATTAAGTAGCATTAAAAATCGATTCTACATATTTTTTACATTATCAACCCGCTTTGGAACTGGATTATTCCACCAATTCTGACTAGTTTTGCATATTCTTTCTGTATAAAGTTCTTCTGAATACATCAAAAGACGAGTTTCCGGCTCATTGATGACTTTTGAGAAGAAATCGGCGGCTGAATCCCCACAATCATAACCGTCCGTTCGCAATTTTTCGTGCAAGCTGAATCTATCTCATTTGAATATAGATGGAATAATTTATTTACAATCCGCTAACAACTTTTCCGTTTTTCTTAACATTGTCCAAATCGATTTCCGTACTTCCGTGATTTGGATGGATAAGTTTCATTATTCCATTTTTGATTTCGACTTCAGTCAAAATCATTTCGGGCTTCGTACGAGCTGTATGAAACCTACATCAACTATTTCAATGATTCCAAATCATATTCCTACCTTCCTGTTTTCCCATCAACGACAAGAAAAAATCGATCAAAATATTCATTGAAAATTGGTCCAAGCGGTGTGCATTTATAGCTAAACACCTACAAATCGAAAAAATGAATTTAAAAAAAACAAAAAGAATTTAATACGTCTTTTCCTTTGCAGGATTTGATTGGATAAATATGAAGGCTTTTGATTCTTCCAACCGGAACCCATTCATTTCGTTCGCATCTCGCATTCCACCATTTGCTCACAACATGCTGAAGTTTGGCGGCAATCTGAAACAAAATATTGATTATTCAAAATTAATATTAATTCTTACATTCCAACCCAAAACCGAAGCTCCAACAAAGCCAAGCAGAACACGCTTGTCTTCAACGAGACTGTCCATTTGACAAAAGAGAAGAAAATTGCTTTTGTCAAGACAACTTATCAAATGTCTGATAAGGGCAGATAAGACGAATGTTCGATTTACCAACGCGATTACAAAACTGAATCGCTTTTTAAAAGCACGTTTAATTTAATAAATAAGTAAAATTACTTTAAAAAATATCAAATCTTTGAAACTACGATGACTTGTATACAGGATCTAAACAGTTGAACTAAAATGAATGTAATCCCAAGCAGAATAATTTATTTATAGTAAAGAATAAACATATAACATATAATACTTGTTTAGTGATACCGGCATTGACTCCGAAAATTCTAAATAGATGCGACTATATTCGAATTCCCTGCGCAACTATCTATCCGGACTCCGGAGTACCTCGATATCTGCATTTTCAAATGTTTATTGTGAGGTTTATCATTGATCTGTAAGTTTGCGAAGCGATTGCAAGTCTTTGGTATTTCTATCAGTGTCTGAATGAATCGTAGTCATGATACCCCAGACAAACCTGATGTGAAAATAATTTACGAATCATGTTTTGTGGGCGAGGGTTCGATGAGAGAAAATACACATGTACATATCTTCATATGAAGATCAATTTCGGATTATATAGTATTCAAAAAATGTCCACGGACAATACGAACAACGCACAATGATTATACAATATCAAAATTCCGCTGATTGAAATACCAAATAACATTGACCAAGGAAGTGTTTTTGGAGCTTGAATAGCGTGACGTGATAATATTTAAATCCATTTCTTATTTACACGCATTCTGTATTCTGTGGTTATTACATTCCGGTAGCATCATCTGAATTAATTTTGTCGATCATTATCAAGGCAAGTATTAAACGAGTAAATCAATTTCTAACATTTTCAATCATGGAAAAGTAAAAAAGAAATTGGATAATTGAAATTTCGATAAAAATTTAATGATTCTATTTAGAATTTTGTTACTTTATATAATTAATCGTGCATTTTGAAAATTATTCAGAAAATTTCACCAAAAAAAATAGGAAAAACCGTTATAATTAAGAATGTTTAAAAAATTGAAATAAAAATTAACCAGAATGTCGTCAAATAGAGCGTATGTGTGTAAGCACCGTAACATACATCTACACTGACCTAATTTGAATGTTTGCCACGCTGGCAGTATTTTGCTGATTTTTTTCGATTTTTCGCCGTTTTTTTTTTTGCTTTTTTTATAAAAATCATTTTCAGATGGCACAGAGCAATACATTGATTAATTCTGCTGAATATACCAGCAACTTCGATTGAAACGGGATTACGAGCGGTGCGTTTTTAAACATTTGAAAATAATTCACTGGTTAGTTATTTTTTCACGGCTAAATTTGATAATTTACGAGACATTATTCTGTTATTAGAAAAGCAGAGATGCGTAAGAGAGTTGAGGAGAAACCAAATTTAGCGAGGGAATTCCAAACTGTGCCAATGACTATAGTCGAGAATATTGATGCACCTTAGTTTAGCTCTCGGCAAAGTTTCAAGAAACTTGAAGGTGTAGTGTTTGGCTGCGGTAGGTGAACGGAGCATATCCGTGCCGTTCTAAGGTGTGTATGAGAGATTTGCGCAAATTCACGCACAGTAAGCGGTAATGAGCAATAAATACTGTCCGAGTTCTTTTTGTGGAATTGGTGAGGGTCAAGTAAATCCTTATCAGCTCGAGGTAAATGGACAATTATTTGATTAAAAAAAGAAAAAATGGTGACAACAAGGCAAAACCACTTCCGCAACGCATCAACGAGACAGGGACATCTTCAAGAAGCCGACAACCTCAAAAAGCGCGAGGAAATTGCCACATTTCCATCTCGTCTGTATGATCCGACGACATTCCCATCATCACTGCCAATACTTCAACATTCCTTCAAATGACAAAACTTCTTCAAAGGACGACATCCAGAGGCAATGCGGGACACGGCGAACGACTTCAATCGCGCTCAATTGTCAAGTCAACAACACTGGCCAAGCTCGATTCTATCAATCCCGACCACTTCAGATCATGCATAGCAGGTCTTCGGGATAAACGAGTACTCAAGAAGCTGCGTTGTCACCAAAAATGTAAAAAAAAAGAAAAAAAACAAAACAAATAGAAAAAAAAAAAAAAAAAAAGAAAAAAATACAAAAAAAAATAGAAAAAAAAAAAAAAAAAAACACCCTAATAGAAAAAACAAAAAGATCCCACCTCGAGCTGTGCTGGTTTTTCTTGATTCCAAACTGAACCTGCGTTAGTTCGACGACTGTTTTTAGAGTTCTTAGCGTTTGCTGTCGTGTTCGAATTTTCGCCGTTCTATCAACAGCCTTCGAATCTCGCGGGCCTGTTCGGCTTGTCTACCGTAGTCTAACATTATCAGTCTGATAGTCGAATTGAAATTTAATGTTTGCTAGACATAAGTGTTCCAAGGTTCTTAACTTGAATCTGCGACGCAGGGAGTCTGAACCTGGCGAAAGGAGGAATCAATTCAATTTTCCCGCGCAAATCTGATGTTCTAATGACATTGGGTGTCTTTTTGAAATAAATTTCTATTCTAATTCAAAAAATTCGGCAATTTTTGAGTTTCATTTATTTAATGTCAATCTTTTTTGCATAATCAACGCCATAATCAACGTAAACTAGCAACGAAAAGGCTTCCAAGTGTTCGAAGGTTTGTGTAATTCTGGCGTTTGTTTTAATTTAAAATTTAGATCTGATTTGCCATTTATGTAGTTTTTGTTGAAGGAATGACACATAAAGAAGTAATATTGGTTGGCTGGTTTGCAAATGTGATTTTTGGCTGGATATATAATTTTTTCGCTAAATTTTATGTAGACAACAATAGCTACCAAATATTCCAAATGAGTGAAGATGACCGATAAAAAGGTACATTTATATGTATTTAACCACTAAAATTGTTGTGAGACTGACCAAGTAGATCTGAGAGTTACTAATTCTTGGTAGTGTTGTCTACGTCATGCCATTACGGATAATTGGCTAAATGCCAAACAAAATAGGCGATGGTCTTAGGGAGCGGTTTTATTTTAAACTCCGACAATACCATCAGTTCTAATATGACCATTTACCAGACATTTTATTGATAACAGTCTTACCGGTTTCACTGACACTAATTGTCGGAAATTTCTGAAATGATCAGGAACGTTATCTAAATTTTCAAACTTGATTTTCTGTTTTCAGAATCTACATTTTGAAAAAATTCTTTAATTTTATTCTCGACGGACAACTTTAAAATTTTAAAATTTAAAGTTTTATTTCTTGTTGAAATGTTTGTATATGTATCGAAATTTTCCGTTTTCGACGATAATGCGAAAGTTTAAAAAAAAAGTGATGTTTCAATTTTTCCTATTTTGAAACGTTGTAGCGGAGCAGTAACAAGAGTTATTTCAGAAAACACAAAGTCATTGTCAACGTCTGTGATGAGGTCTTCTTGCCTTTTCGTCAATTATCACTAATCTTTTGTGTGTATTTTTCTTTTTTATTTGCTCAGTATAATCGAGCTTTGTTATTCAATTTCTCTGCGACTGGCCGTATTTGTAAGCCCTGTCGCAGATCTGTTAGCTGTACAGGGCGTTATTGCCGTAAGCCCCTGTGTAGGTCATTTGAGTTATCTGTGATGAATGTACGTGCAAGCACGTGCGTAGATATCGGAGCTGTGCGGCAATCGTCAAATTTCCGAAAATAAAAATTTCGGCTATGAAAAATTTTCAACGAAGATCAATATATTCCTTACTTTCGCTGTATGTAAAATTATTCAATAAGCATACTGTTTTGTTTAGTTTTTTTCCGACATCAAATTGCCGAAAATAAGAATTTCTGCAATTTCCATTGCCGCGCAGTCCTGGTACGATGAGTATTAACGGACTGAGTTCGAAGTGGTACAGCTTTCCCCATTTTTCTTTATTAGCAGGAAGTTTTACCCCTAAAGAGTATGCGTTATAAGTGAATTTCTGCAAATTTTTATGGGACGTATGCATAAGGACAGGTTAAAGGTGCATAGCGCGAATCTAGACCTCTTTCATATAATTTTTGGCATTTAGCCTTTTTTCCCAAAAGCCCGCTTATAGTACCACAGTTTTAATCGCTTCAGAAATCATGAAATTTGATCTTATGAGTCTTTAACCGTTACGATTTGACGTTTTTAAATCCCAGTTTTTTTATTACCATTGCAAGATTTTCTACTATTGTTAAAGTCGCATACAAAGCCATTTTATAGTTACAGCGATTTAATGAAAACCAGGCTTGTCGTTTCGGCCGGCCGTGTTCGAACATGGTCACGACGCATACGAAACGTCGCATAGAGCAAATTTTCCCCCGTCCCAGTCAAATTAAAAAAAAAAAAACTATGAATCCGATTTGGAACGGTGTTATTCCCCCAATTGTAGAGGTTCTCTCCGTACTGAGTACATAACGAAGCGATAGCTAAGTTCATTAACAATTTTGAAAAAAATATTCAGCTGCGACATATCTGCAAGCAAAACCAACGTTCCGTAATTAAGTTTCATTATTCCATAAAAGGGTGATCATTTTTGGTTTCCTAGTAAAATAGCGAAAACCAGTGTGAGGTCTTGATGAGGCTGTTTTGAATCTTGCTTTGTGACTCGAGAAGTCTTGCCGATTCCTCATGAAGACCTCACAATGGTGAAAACTACTAATCAAATTTATGTGAGACGAAAAAACTGAATGAATTATAAAAATAATTTATCAAAATATACGTTTGAAACCGTTCCCAATAAAGTACATTTAATGTTAATAAGAAGAAAGTGGGATTTCTAGGTGTATTGCTTTTGCAAAGTATATTTTAATTTATATTTAATTTTTAATTTATCTGTTCGATCGATTTCAAATTTTCAAATTGAATTTAAACACTTTCTCAAGCGAATTTCAAAGCTCCACCATTTTCGTTCAATCCGTTAATGCGGAATCCGAAAGACATAGAAGACATAAAATAATGCATCAAGGTTTATATTTAAGGTAAAAATTAACACTGCAAACAATGTAGATAATGTAAATTTCTTTTCAACAATTTAAGTCACGGAAAATATTTACGAGGGAAAAGGGTTTTAATAATCAATATTGCGATAAGAACTTCCGAAAATGTGATTAAATATGACTGTCTCAACGGTGTATTTTCAAAATATAAAATAATTTTCGGACCCATATATTTCAACGGCGGAATAAACTTTTGAGAATCCAAAAATTTATTATCAATTTGACATGGCCTAGAAATGTGAACAGCCGTAGCCTAGGAAAATACTCGGCCACGCCGAATTACTTTTTGAAGCCGTTTCTGATTAATTTGTGTTTCGACATAGTTTTTGTTTTTCGATATTTATAATAGCTTTTTTTTATTTCTACATCATCTTAACGCAAAAAGGGCGGTTTTCATGATAAGAGTTGAAGTCTTATTGCCCATTGAATCATTGGAGGCGAATGAATCATCAAAATGACCGCTTTTACTGTTGCTGTGTAATAACCTATTTTGCAGAATTACTACGTATGAACCTTTGAATCGAACAAAAAAATGAATACTGGGGTAACCCTCGAAGACGCGATAAATAATGTACAGCTCTTGGGGACTCTCATGCTCCCGGATGACCTTCCAGATATCGAAGCACGCGCATTACCACTGCTCTATAGGTAAAAGAAATATAAAGATAATTAGTAGAAATACGTTTATAGAGCTAATTTTGATACAAATTTCGAGGATAGAAGCGCATTTGTGACTGGAATCGCTAAATACAGTGAAGAAGCTACAAGACATGCTCAATTTGTAAGAAATGTCTGAAATTGATTTTAATATATGGATTAAAATTTAGAACGATATGCTCTCGGAAGGTCTCAAGCATGCAGCAAATTTATATACTTGGAGATGCTGCTCTAGAGCTGTTCCAATGGCAAAATCCAATGATCAACCGAATCGAACAGAAATTAATGAGATGGTTGTCGAAGTGTTAAAACCAGAAGTGAACAAACTCAGCTGTTTTATGAGATTCACTGTAATAGTTGTATAATTTTCAAATGTTTCGAAAAAATTTCTTATAGTTATCGGCGATTCAACGGTTTTGTGAAGAAGTACGTCGGCTGTGCCATCAGGAAAAACGTCGGGATTTTGTCTCAGAATCGTATCTTCTTACTCTGGGAAGGTTTATCAACATGTTTGCTGTTCTGGATGAGCTTAAAAACATGAAAGCCTCGATAAAAAATGATTTTTCAACATATAGAAGGTGAAATTATTTACATTTTTCATAAAAAAATAACAAACAGTTTAGAGCTTCGCAATTTCTTCAAACAATGTCAGATACTCAAGCAATTCATGATATGCAAAATTTGAGCATGTTTTTGGCGACACAAAACAAGATTAAGGATGATCTGAAACTTCAAATGAAAACGGTATGTCAATAGTAGTTATCAGAAAGTGATTTCCATAAACTGACAGATCGAAGGTTATGAAGAACTACTAGCCGACGTTATCAATATATGCGCACATATGTATGAACATCAGCTTTATGTTTCTCCGAATGAAAAGCATATGTTCGTAAAAGTCATCGCCTTCTCATTATTCCTCATGGATGGAGATTCTGCCAACGTTGCCAAACTAGATCAGAAAAAGCGTTTGAGCATTCAAAGACTGGACAAAATCTTCAAGGTTTTTTTTGAAAAATTGCTTTACAACATTATTTTGTCCTTTTTTTCAGACATTAGAAGTTGTTCCTTTGTACGGTGATATGCAAATACAACCGTTCGCATTCGTTCGAAGATCTCCTCATTATGATTCAAGCAAATGGCCTTTGAGTGATAAAGAATGTATGTATATTTTTAAATAAAATCACTTACGGAAATTCGTAATTTTTAGCTGATAAATGTCATGTGAATATTGTGGAAAAACTAGCATCAATTCGTGCCGATCACGAATCATTTGTGACTCAAGTCGCCAAAATTCATAACGAGAATGCAATATGTGATAGGCCCGGCGTTGATCTGGAGTACCGAGAACTCACATCGCTTGCCTTGTCTGGTATTCAGTTGCTATGTCAGTGGTCATGTGCGGTGGTTGAAACCATTAGTTGGAAATTGTTGCATCCGACTGATCCACGCGAGAATCCGGACTGTCCGGACACTGCTGAAGAATATGAGCGAGCTACACGCTATAATTATTCGCCTGCTGAAAAGACGGCGATTATTCAAATTATTGCCATGATCAAGGGACTTCAATCGCTTCTAGGCAAACAGGATATTGAGATGAGCTGCGCAATTCGGTATGATCTCGTCAAATATTTGTTAAAATTTCAGACAATTTCAGGAAATGTGTTTACATCGAACTGCAGTCGTTTGGTCAACACGTTGTCGTGGATCTTCTCCAAAAAGCGGTAAAGAATAAAAAGGATCTACTTGCCGGGTATCGAAATCAATTTGAATAATTTTAGATTTCAATTTCTTTCAGAATTCTCAATTCTGTCAAGGATTCAATATCTGACGTAACGTATGAAATAAATCGAGTTCCGGAAACCAAGGTTTCAAAGAATTGCCTTCATTTGTGTGTTACATTCATTTTTTAGTCGAAATCGAAAAAATCGAAGGACGATTCAGTGAATTCTTCATCTTCTGATATACGATTAGCGAAGAGAAGTACACCGCCTGGAAGTACACAACTTTATATGGCACGAACCCAATTGGAAAGCTTAATTTCTGACCGATTGTGTGGTGGGAAAAAGGTGATAGATTTATATAATTTTTATGAATTCAATAAATTGTCTAATGCAGATTCTACGAAAAGAATTAGATTCGAAAACCATTGAGAAGATTTCCGTGTTCTTAAGGTAAATGGTTATTTAAGATTTAATTCCGAAATAATTTTTTTCTCAGAAAATCTGCTCATTGGCCAACTCTTTTCCGGTTGTCCGACTCAATCACTGAAGCTGGTGACTTAAGTCAGTTATGGTTTCGAGAGTTTTATTTGGAAATGACGATGGGAAAGAGAATTCAGGTTGCCAATTTCTTTTGATTGCTTTTCTCATTTAATTAATTTACAGTTTCCAATCGAAATGTCGATGCCATGGATTCTCACCGATTATATTCTGACGTCTAGTGAGCCTTCATTAATTGAATCAGCATTATACCAATTGGATTTGTACAACGATGCGGCACAATATTCACTTTTCAATTTCAATAAGCAATTTTTGTATGACGAGGTAAAAAAAATGCCCCAACATTTATAATTCAATATATTGTTTTTTTTTTTAGGTTGAAGCCGAAGTCAATCTGTGTTTCGATCAATTTGTCTACAAACTTTCAGAAATGGTTTTTACCCATTATAAACAATTGGCTTCCTGGTAGTATTTACATCGTGCTATACTGTACTTATTGGTGGTTTCAGCATGCTTCTCGACAAAAAGTTCAAATCATTAATATTGGAAGCTGGAACGATGATTCGATCACCTCCAGCTGCGAGATTTGAAAGCTTATTACAGCAACGTCATCTCCAGCTTCTTGGAAGATCTGTGGATTTGAATCGTGTTGTTTCTCAAAGAATCAACATGGCATTACTAAAAGCGCTTGATGCGGCGATTTGGAAGTTTGAAAGCGAGCAGCTGTCAACGATTTGTGTATGACCATTTTCCCCGAATTTCGTTGCAAATGTTGTTTAGGAACTCGAATTGCTTATTGAAACGAATCGTTTGTGCCATTCATTGTTGCGAAATGTGCTATTCTCCGTTGCCGATTTCGACGATTTGCTTCAAGAAGCGAATCACGCAGTCAACTCGCCTCACGGAAGAATTACACTTCACGTTTTCTGGGAGCTTAACTACGATTTTGTGCCAAATTTCACTTATCACGGAGGAACGCACCGATTTGTTCGCGCAAGGGTTTAATTTTTTTTCTCGAATTTTCATCCGTTGAAGTTTTGCGATTTCAGCAGGTATTCCGTAAAACACCAGCTCGTGAAAAACCGCCACAAGTTGGACAAGTCTACTACTGGGGATCGAAATCGTTACAGGTGCGTTTTAACATCAATATTAAATTCTTCGAATCTATATGATTTAGGCAGCTTTTGGAAACATTTGCAATGCTTATAGCCATTGTATTGGTACGCAACATCTCAAGGCGATCACGAGACTATTGCATTACCAAGGTCTCGCGGTGATCCTAGATGAACTTTTAAAAATGACGAATCGATTGCTAAATGAGAAGCTTCGACGACATATGAAGAATGTTCTGAGCCTTATGCCGAAGGTTTGCAAGCTGCCTAGAACCGAATATGGTAGTGTTGGTAAGATTTCTTCAAACGTTTCCGAAATAAATTTGATGGTTCAGCTGTTCTCCAATATTATTGCCATCATCTGGAGCCCGTTGGAAAATACGCCGAACTTCGTACAGAGTTTTGCCAAGATTTACGAGAACTCGGCAATATTATTACACTTTCCCAACAGCTTGAAGTTGCTCTTGCTCAAACTGAAACTCATGATTTGTTCTTGTCTGCCGCGTATACTGGAAATGTTCCCCAGCCACCATCGAGAAGTCCTCTTCAATTTGTTTTTTTCGAAGTGGTCATTGTTTCTATTTTCAGATACTATGGAACAGTCTAGACAGATTCAGAAGCTCGAAGAAAAATATTCGAGAATTCATTTGACCGAAATCATTGAGAAAATTAGTAATGATCCAGCGGTATTAAATTACTCGAGTTTATTAAATTGTTAGTTGGATTTTAGCAAATCAATGTTGCTCGCGAGGCGGAGCTTATGACGAAAGAAAGACTATGCTGCGGATTAAATGCATTCGAGCACTTCCTTCAGCGAATCAAGCAAATGCTGGCAGCAGACACTGTAGAAATCAATTATTTTTGCTAATATAATATTTTGTTTCAGATCTGGACTGGTGGCTATCCAGCGAACAATGTGTTTTGGGTCGATGAGTGCGTTGAATGGTACCGCGTCTATTCAGCGCTGCAATTTTTCCTGTGTCAACCTGAGAAGGATGAAAACGAGACTTTGGCAGAGTAAGATTTTTATTTTGAGTATTCGAATTATTCGCGACGCCTCTTGTCTGATCGACTGCGGCTATGCTCAGAGCGTCTTCTGTCGCGACTTCTGCGTCTTCCGCGGCTTCCGCTACGACTTCGGTCTCGATCTCGTTCTCTATCACGGTCACGATCTCGTTCCCTATCGCGGTCACGGTCACGATCTCGTTCTCTATCACGACGTCTTCCGTCACCACCACTGCTTGTACTTCTATCACGGTCTCGTCCACGACTTCGATCACGACTACGACTACGTTTATCGCGACTTCCTTCTGCTCCGCTATATCCTCCGCGACTTTGTGGTCTTCTCGGACTTCCTCGGCTTCGATCATGGGAACTACTTCTGTCGTGGCGACTTCGCCGATCTCGGTCTCTGTCACGATCACGGTCCCGATCTCGATCCCGATCTCGGTCCCTATCTCGAGCTCTCTTATCTCTAGGGCTTCTATCTCGATCCCTAGCTCTATCGCGATCGCGGTCACGATCATAGTCACGATCTCTGTCACGATCATCTCTTCTATCATCTTTGGGTAAATGATCCTTCTTTTCAATACGATCTCTTTCGACATCCGACTTCTTCTCTCCTGTCGACTTTCTATCTCGTCCGCTTCTCGGACCACTTCGACTTCTTGAATTCGACTTATTCCGTCCAGTATCTTGAGTTTCTTCAATTCTGAAATTAATTGATTTAGAGGTTTTTATATTTCATTCGATTTTTTTCTTTTACTTTGGTTCACTTTTCTTGATTTCGATGTTTTTCTCTGTAGGATAACTGGCCTTATTTTTGGCATCTGTGGTATTCATCTTGTTCTCCGTTTCACTTAGCACAACCGATCTATCCAAAGGTGCTTTCCGCATAACGGATTTGGATCTTTGTGTTTGTCCTCGCCTAAATGTTTTTCCAAAGGGTTTAATTCGATTTAATTATTCTAAATTACGTCATTCTAAAGCGGACTATTAGAAGAATTATCAGCCCAAATAGCGTAATTATCGCGATTCCGTTGTAGATTGTAGTCATTAATGCCCCAATGTGTATTGAGTCTTCAAAGTCCTACCAATTGGATTTTGTTTTCTTTTTTTTTCAATTCGATATTTACTTCATCTGTAAACGTCTTCCCATTAAGTTTTACGACGAGTGAAGTGGCGTTGGCTGAAGATTTTTTAGTCGTTATTAGCGGTGCCGATAAACTAGAAAACATATTCGATAGAATTGCTAATACTGCAAAAACGATTCCCTAAAGAGAATTCAATTTTGGTATTAACGTCAGAAATCATCTGATTACCACAGAATGACTAAGCGGCGCTTTGATTTGCGAGACGAGTAAGATGATGCTTGTGAATAGAATACTCGCGCCAGTTCCTCCGACAGCGAAATACCACTGCAATCAAACGATCCATTAGAGCTTCTCACCATTTCATGTTACCGCAATTGATTTTTGATCGATTACGGAAGATCGTTTTAGAAGCAAGTCCTGCGGAATTACCATAAAATTCATCATCTAAAATTGCCGATTCTAATTTGAATGAATTACTCGGAATATTTACCAGGACAACCGATATCGGATAAGTATAGGACACTGATTCAAGGTCATTTCGGAATACCATTAAAGTTGGACTGTTTTCTTCTTTCTTTTTTATAGGAATGACTTTATTTGGTTTATTTTTAGGGGATCACGTTGCATGCTTTTTATTGTTTTTTCTTTTGTTTCAGAGAACTCTTTGGCGATTCATTGCAATGGGGAGCTCTAACTTTGATTGTGCTTCTTGGTCAACACCGCCGCTTCGAGGTTCTTGATTTCTGTTATCACCTGCATCGTGTGCAGAAAGCCGATTCTAAGGATGAAGTGTGTAATGGAATTGTGAGTGTCAAGCAGCTGAAAATCAGTCACGTTTTCTTATTCAGAGACTCAGCCGAATGGTGGACAGAATTCGGAGATATCAGCTTTTGAATAACCAGATTTTTATAATGTTGACGAATCAACTGAATGAGCATAATGAGGATGAGCATGAAAGAGTTCGCGAGTTCGCGCCGCCCGTTCACCCGAATTACGTTAACAACGCTAATCGCCGCTAATTGCACGCATTCCTAATGTTTATATATCCCGCTCGCGCATTTTATTGAATACGGTATTTTAATGTATTTAAATTTATAACTTTTTAAAGATTAATTTTTCATTGCGTGTAATTTGTGAATGCTTTATAGCTCGAAAATTTAACCAAATAAATTCACATACTCCTTTCAATTTGAGTTACTGAAAACTTTATTACTAAATATTTGTATAAAAAATAATATACAAAAAATTAGAAGATTTGATTCAAACCATTTTCACATTGACTTCCTGAAAGAATGAAACTTGAAATAGAGGAAGGGAGTTTGGATTACCTTTGAAGGATCAATCGGATCTGACTCGTGGCTGTCTGCGGGTTTGATCACCTCATTTCCTGGAACATTTTTCATTTGTATATTCAATAAAGCAATTAACAAGAATGTACTTATTGGTTCTGGTTTCCTTGTTGGTAGTGGAGTATCTGTGTCTTCTTCTGAGAAGCAGCACAATAGGAAACATGGACGAGTCGGACTCTTCTTTCGAAGGATTGACCTAAAATTATTCTAGCTGTGTTTAATGGAAATTCGGAATTATTTACCTCATCGTGACGAACATTACAAAAGGGGTGTGTCCAGCGATGAGAAAGTTGATAACAGTAATATATTGCAGTGATCCGAGCATCTTCAATAGACTAGCAAAAATTGCAGCAATAAGGGAGACCTAGAGCGAATACTGATTTCAATTGAATCACATTTAGCTTACGGTGTGAAATGTGACTGTTTTGTTGATTCTGTGAAACGTGGTGGGGACGCTTTGATCTTCGTTCGAATAATGTTGCGCTCGCGAGACCTGCGATTTGAAAGCATAGAAGGCGACGGTGTTCAGAGCAGGGAAACCATAATCAAGGAGAGAAAACTGCAAAATTCGGTTTTCTTTGTTAATGGGTGATTTGATCTACCTCGATAGGTGGAGCGTATTTGTCGCACTCTTGGAGATTTTCAATTTGAGAATATCCACTGCTAATCGTTAGAAGGAACATAATTCCGCACAATAGTGTAGCAATGAGAATTTGGAAATATCTGAAAATAGTTTTTATTGAGAAACTCCTGCTATATATGTACTTATAGACGCTAATACATAGCAGATCAATTGGGAGACTAAAATTCTTTAATCCCTTTCTTTTAACTAGATGGTCACCCCTTGTGAGTTTTTTTTCGGAAATATCATAACCCCTTCTCCCTACAGCCAAACTTCTTCATTTTCTCTTATTTTTAAGAACCTCGAAAGCAATTGGTATTTTTTTCAACGAATTACCTGTTCACAAAAATTTGTGAGCCTTTAAACTTTTTATAAGAAGCAATTTGTTGAATGATAACAATAAATACGATAGGTGCAATACATCGATTAAAGGACATTACGGTAGTAGACCAAAGCATTGGGGTTTCATGGTCCAATTCGGGCTGTTGTATAAATAATTCCACAAGAGACGTTGTTTGAAATGAGCTAAAAGTGCATTTTTGCCTCATGTTTTTGAACAACGCATTCGAATTACTAATAAATATTTCCAACGTGAGCGATACCTCCGCATGCTGCCACAAACGATAGAAATGTTAGAATATAATTACTTGATAGCTATAGAACATAAATATTTTCAAATTTAGATGTTATATGAACTAACGTGTTTGTATTTGGACATTTTCAAAACTCGACCAATTAATATTGATGGCACATAGTAGATAAATGTGATTGCAAAAACAGCTGACAATTTCTCAAGAATTATATTCGATTGCGAATCGTCTCTATAGTTTAATGGAACATTCAGGAAAGTTATTTCATTTCGAACTTACGATTCCACGGATTTAAACAGGCACGAGCTATTAAATAAGCTGCTAAAATCGAAATTACTTTGACCAAAGTCACCAAAATCAATATTATAATCATCGTTAGTAACGTTTAATAACGTTCCATTCTCCATATCGGTATGATTCTAAAATCGTTCAAAAATTTAGATTTTTAAAATCATTATTTTCAATCAACCATCATCAGTTCCTTTTGATTTTGAAAAAAAGTCCGCCAGCATTGTTTTCAAATTTTGCGAATATTCGGTCACTTCCGCCGTTTCGTTTAATATCGATGAGAAATTTGTGTAATCCATTTCGATATCGGGCCTTGAAACAAAAAAAAAACAAATATATTATTAATTATATACAATAAAATTTCAAAACTTACCCCATCCCCACACTTGAAATGGGGTTACTTTTGATTCGTGCACTCATCTTGACGAACGTCTAAATTTAGACTGAAATTTGAAAGCTTCACTTCTAGAAATAATGTTAATAATACTTCGAAAAAGCAATGATGTATAAACGTCAGTCGTTTTCATCTGCAGATTTGAGTCTAGCAGATGATTTTTATGGTTCCACACAACGTGATATCCTATTGCACCTGCAATGAACTGGATTACTGTATCTACGTTTTCTATTTGAAATGTCGCATGTGAAAAGGGCAACCAATTAAACACACTCACATTGGAAAATGGATGAAAAATTTAAAAAGGGGGATCCATGGCAGAACAGTTTTTTTGCATTCAGGTTTCATCAAACTTTTTCGTCCAATTTTGAACAGTGGACAAAATTTTTAAAATATTCAAAAGTGGAAAAAAACAAATTAAAAATTGATGAATCATGTGGATAAAAAACTGAGAAGATCGGAAAACCCATCGGGCCAAACAATGATTGTCTGAACCGTGGTTGGTTTTGGTTTAAACATCGGGGTTACACGGATGTTGTTTTTGACCGAGTTCAATGTTTCCCCTGTTCGTCCCAAAATGTTCCGCTGGTCATCCCAAACCAAAATCTGTCCTCTGTTCGTCCCGATCGAATCGCTGAGATACTGTATTTTATTTGTCTTCAGATAATCGTAAATCGATTGCGACATGATACAAAACGACAATGTTTTTTCCGCGGAATGAGTCTTTTATCAAATTCAAATTTGCGCGATTTTCTTTCATTAAACGAAGTTGGGACTTTTTTTTGATATTTGGTTTTTGAAATCGTAAACACACAAAATCTTTACGTTTTCATTTAGGTCTATACTTAATTAAATTAATTAATCCGTCAAGTGTGGCCGTGACCGAACCTAATTTTTGAGGACAATTTTTCTAGGCCTCGGCGAGCAGTGTGCAGTAATCGATTTTGTTTTGAAGCTCGTCATTATAAGAATGGCGGCAAAATGGAGATATTATAATGTGAAACGCGGTGGCAATTTCTTTCAAGGACGCAGGAAAAGAGGATCATTTCTATCAAATTTTATTCCTCGAAATAGCATTCAAGAAAGGAATAATCAAGGTATTGCCAATTTAGCACAAAATCAATGAATGTTTGTTTTAGAAGATCGAGTGGAATTAAACGAAAAAGACTATAGAGATGAAACTGTATTGAGCATTTCTTACGGGTTGGTAATTTTTCAAAGTTTAAATTAAAAGTTTGTTTTAGAATGAATTTATTGGGCGCGGCTGTGTATGAACAGTCCACTCAATATCTCAGAGTTATGCACGATATTTCCGAAGATGACCAATTTGAATATGTTTTCAAATGTTAGTCTTCTGTGAAAATTATGTTCGCCATTCGTAAAACTGGATAAATGCCAAAAAATTATGGGTTAGCTCTCGGCGCCAAACTAAATCTGTCGATTTACTGGATAAACATAATATATATCGCTCGTCTAGGTCTTTCCAATAATTTTTTGACATTTCTCAAATTTTCCACATACGATTTTTCCGTTTAGTGATTGAGACCGTAAATCCTACAATTATTTTAATCAGCAGCAACGTCGACCTAAAGCTTCAAAGGATTCTTTCTGATAAATGTAAAATAAGGCTAAAGTTGATAGAAATGCATCAAATTAAAAATTCAGATGGTGGAAGAATCGATGAAAAAGGAAATACAGAGTTTATACCAAGATGGAATCCAAAAACAAATGAAGAATCAGACGAAGGAAATAATGAAACAACTATGCAAAATGATGAGGAATCAGACTCTGAAGTTGAATATGAGGGTGATAAGGTCAAACTCGTCAAAATGGGAAGCAATTTATACAGTAAACATTAGAAAATTAATGTGGTAATTTCAAAAGTAATTTAGGATTTGATAAATGCATGAACCGAATTTCCGAACTTATAAATGCGGAAGACCCTTCAATCAGTTCAGAGGAGCAAAAATTGATAGTTCAGTTTCGAATTGACGCGAATTCATTCAATATGGTAATTATTTATAGCATGTTTCTGGGAAAAAATGCACCGCAATGATATCCAAAGAAAATTATATCGATTACTGGTATAAACATAATCAACTTATGTCTCAATGGTGATCACTAAATTTGGAAAACTATTTTGCGAAAATCAATAAATACCACCATACGCGAACCGTATTGCCTCTGACTTATAAAACCGTTTTTTTTTCTGAAACAGTAATACGCCTGCAAAAAAAACAAGCGCCCTTCGCCGATAATATGGTAGCCAAATTCCCACTGTTTTAATTTAATTTTGAATCTCCGCCTCGAGAAAGTGCAATGGACGACAATTATTCAAGACGCTCATTTTTTTGCGATGATATATAACACATTATTTATTTGAACAATAGAATAATTACGGCTTCAATAACATTTGCGCATTAATTCCGTTCATAAAAATAAATTATAGCAATTTCTAAGAAAAAGAAGCAATAAAATGTTCGTTGAACTGATTCATTGTTCATTTTTAAGGTGAAATCACTTGGAGCAATTCTTTTCTATTTGGATGATTCGAGATTGGGAGTGGAAAATGCTCCGTTAAATGTTCGAGTTCCCGTGAAAGCAATTAAAACATTTGTGCTGGAAAGTATGGTCGAAATGGACTTGAATTCATTTAGAGCCCTTGATATCCTTCCATTGGGAAAAGAGGCAAAGGTAAATAGGACAATTTTTTTTTATTTTTTATAACTTTCGATCTTAGGCTCGAGGAGCTGTTTCACTTTTCGACTTGTGCAATAAATGTAAATCAACGATAGGAAAGAAGTGTTTGAAGTATGTTATTATATGGGTCGCACGACTGAAGAGAATTGACTAAATGTCAAAACATTTATGGAAGCGCGGTGTGCGTCTTTAATATATTATTTAGTATGGCTTGTAAATCTACATCATTTTACTTCGCGCCATGGTCTCTCCAAATGGATATTTAGACAATTATCTGCAATTACACAACGCCTATAATAAATATTGTCGGCGTTGCTCGACTACGGAAAATTGGCGAAACCCCAAAAAAATAAGGAGAAGTCTCGGTGCGTGGTGTGCGTCTTTAACCTATCCTTATACGTAGGCCCGTAAATCTACATTTAGTTTTGCGCCAAGACCACTGCCATGATTTTTTTGGCATTATAGCAAATTTGTGGAGTCGCGCAACGCCGATACTAAGAATTACGAAGAATAAATTTCAAATATATTCGGCGTCCGGTGACTGCTGTACGTGGGTAGATTTACGTGCATGGCCTTCACTATAGTCTCGCATGGACTGACTGATTATTTTTTTTATTTTTTAGATCATTTCGAAAGCGCATACACGTACCTGCGCAAACCAGTCGCCGGACGCCGTATGTCGGCTATATGGTTTTTTGTTTTACAGGAAATGGTTTCGGAACCCCACAAGCAGTAAAAGTGTCTTGAAAAGTCGTCAAAGATGTATTCACTTCTTCATTCAAGTATATATCAGTTATTTCATATCAAATTCTCGAAAATTCTAATTTCACGGTGTTATGAGCTTGATTAAATTTTAAAGAGTGCTCACACAGCTTTTATGAGCTCCTGTAAATCGAAAAAATAACACAGAGATTTTAAATATGATTATCAATTTTCAAAAAATTATTATTTAAACGACTGTGCCATTTTAAAAACCAAATTCCGATAATTTACAAGATTTTACGAAATTCTAATAGATGATCTGTCAAATTTCCTGCTTACCTTTGCGTAAACAATTTGATGTCTTGTAATTCTTTGAATGCTCAAGAATTATAGGATTGTCATATGGACGTCACGGCGAAGATTCTCAGGCTTCTTGGAAAAGTCAAATCGCTTGAGGTTACTGAAATTAAAGAAACTCTTTGAATTTCTATATCTCAGCATATTTTCAAACGATTTAAAAATGGATCGGCCACATTAATTCATTGGGAATCATTCACAAAAGTGAGGAATTTCGGAATCTCTCCAAAGAAAAACTTTGTAATATTTAGACGGTTGCAGCTCTCACGGAAATCATTGAAATCATTCAAGAAACGCAGGTGACATAGTTTTGACATCATAAGACCAATTTAATAATAAGAAAAATTGAATAATCGAACAATAATCTGCAATTTATTACCAGAATAGTGGTAGAGTGAGCGAAAACAAGATTTAATTAGCCAGTTGTAGGAAATAATATTCATTATTGAGAGGAAAATACCGAAAAAAAAGCGTTATATGAAACCTCGAAAAACAAGATAATTGCAAAGAAAAACTTTGACGATAATGATGTGGACTCCCGTTTTCTAAACCTCCCTTTTCATTCTTTTATTTCTCAAATATTTATAATTGTAATACTAAGAAATCAAAATGCGCATATCGACATTTCAACGATTAATCGGTTTCTAATGCCAAAAACGTATGAAAATTCGAAAATTAAAAATCACTTTCAGCTTAAAAGTGAGTTATTGGATGATGACATCGAATTGAAGGATATCTCGGAAGCAGTGGTCATTGCGCGATCAATTGTAAAATTTTGTAATTATTTTCTTAATTAAAATTTCGAATTTCAAAGATTGACTTTGATGAATCGAGGAATGAGGGCCGAATTACCATCTCCACTGGGGTCGATGAACTACTCGATGAATGTTAGTAATAAGATTTTGAAATAGGTTGCATGTTAGTATTTTTAGACAAAATCTCATTTCAAGCCCTTCCGTCGATTCTTACAACAATAGCTGAACAAGAAGCGATTCGTTTGAATCTTCCGGATCAAGATGCATGTTCGTGCATTTATGTGCCGATTGTTGGATATCTGTTGTCCCTTCCTGGATCGTTTCCTTTGAATGAGCATCCTGAGTATGTTTTTTTTTGAAAAAGAAACATAAAAACTGACTGTTTTAAATATATTATTTATATATTTACAGCTAATCAAAAAAAATATTTTTTTTCAACAGAATGACAATGGTGTACCAAACTGATAGCGAAATTCGTGTTAAAAATGAAATGACAGCCAAACTCGACGAAGAAATTGGTGACATTCGAATGCAAATTATCGATAAGGAAACTGTTATTATTCTAAGGCAATTTTTATAATTGATAAATGCAGAACTCATCTCTAGAAATTTTAGGCTGAAAAAGATGATAATGATTCGCCGACGAAAAATTCTTCAATGCCAAAAAGTCGCTGCCCAATTGGATGCTCTCATTTCATTGGCAATAGTTGCCGGAGAATACAAGTTTGATTTAATTTTTTTTTTAATTTCTACATTAATATTGCGGGGTTCCTCCAAAAATTCCGTACATGGTTTCATATCATGTTGAAATTTTTTAAAACGATTTCTGTGAATATTTTACTCGAAACTTTTTCTTTTCACGACGAGAATCAAAACTTGTGATTACATATATTGATTGGGGTTGTTCCCAAAAAAAAGCAACAATATTTCAGTTGGAAATGCCCATATATTGCCGATGAGCCGGTCATTGAGGCTACTGAACTCGTTCATCCGCTCGTTGTTTCAACATCCAAGAAGACATTTGTTCCCAACAAATTCATGTAAGTTACTTTATTTTTAAAAAAGACAAGATAAATTTGTAGAAGCGGTTTACCGAATGCGAAAGTGAGTATTTTGACGGGTCCGAACGCTTGCGGGAAAAGCGTGTATATGAAACAAGTCGGCATTCTTGTTTTCCTGGCGCATATTGGAAGTTTTGTTCCTGCAAGAACTGCAAGAATTGGTAAGATCGGTTTGCCAAAACAACGCAAATGAATATGAAATTGCTGTAGGCCCAGTGGATAGGATTGTCACCAGAATGTTTACTGTGGACAATGTGCTTGATGGAATGTCGACATTTGCAAAAGACGTTGAACAGGTAGGTGAATTCCTTGCAATATTCTTGTTTAACGAGGTATTTCAGGTTGCGAAAGCTCTTCGAAAGTCTTCAATCAACTCATTAATTATAATTGACGAATTTGGAAAAGGAACGATGACTGAAGTCGGATTATCTCTTCTTGCTTCTTGTCTCACACATTGGATCAATAGTGGGCCGGAACGGTGCCCGCATGTTATCGTTTCTTCGCATTTTCATGCAGTTTTTAAATATATCCCTATTGAATCGAGTCTTCTCACTTTCCTAGTAAGATTAAATTGATATATTATACTTACATATATCATATGGCATCATTATTCAGACATTTCAAGTGAATAGATTACCTGGCGGTCGTTTGGATTATCTTTTCAAATTGGTCGAAGGACATGTTGATTGTTCGTTTGCGATGATGATTGCCAAAGACGAAGGAATTCCGTTGGGTGTTGTGGCTCGAGCCTGCGCAATTTATGGCGAATTGAAAAATGGGAAAGGGTTGAGTGAAGTGAAAACGAATATTGATTCTACGGAAGATGATGAAGCTTGTAAGAATATGGAAGAATTGTATGTTTCTTGATTTCGTTTCAATATTTTTGCGGAATAATTTTAGTTTGAAAATTGATGAAGAGTGTACGATATCAAAATTTGAAGAATTTTTCTCAAAATTACAAAGAAGTAAGGAAGTTGAGGAATCGAAACGAAATACGGATTCTGCCAATTTATCTGAAAATTCTAGCCACAATCATTATATTGATGAGACGGTATACATTGTTTATAGATGGATTATGTTCAATCAATTCTTTTAGCAATTACTTCCAGAAAAGGAGCAAGAAGATTTTCGGAATATCGAAGATGTAAATGAGAAATATTCGACTTTCGATAGAAATTGCGAGAGAAAGTCACCTCGATGCGAAACGAAAGCACGGAAAACATCGGAAAGAAGAAATCAGTATGTTTTATCAATTACGAGAACATTTCATGCGATATCTTTTACAGAAATGCAACAGTTTCTTTTTTGATTCCGAACGAATCAAAATCGTCGAACAGTGTGATGAATGTCCTTGATTCACTTTTACCAGAATCGCGGAGTAGAGATTTTATAAAAAATGCATCAAGGTAATTAAATATTAGACTTACTATTGAAAATATAAGTACATTACAGAAACTTGAGTGCTGAAACTTCGAAAAATGTAATGTCACAACGGCATTCAAATTCGTCTAAAAGGTTTCGTATTTTGTTGATTTGTTTTTATAGAAAATGACATTTAGAATAGTTAGCCAGAATTCCAGCCCTCGATCTCCAACCCTGTTCTCATCTGATGACGAAGATGCAGAAATAAATACGACACAGGATATCAATGATATGTGCTCAGATCGGAATTCTCTAAGCAGTTTTCACTCGATAAACACAACGAAATCGTGCTTTTTGACTCCAAAAATGAAACGATTATCGTCTGTAGAAAAAAAGACAACTAATTCAGACGCATTTAATAGTCAGAGGTAAATTTTATTGTTTGAAATTTTATTTCGTTGAAATAAATGCTTCAGAAGAACTACATCTTTTCGGGATATCGGCGAAATCAATTTATTTAAATCATCAAACCAATCAAATCAGTCCAAAAAGTAATGAAAGTAACTTTATGAAACGGCCCAAATATGGTGTTGTAGAACATCAACTCCAGCATCTTCTACATTTATTGAAAAAGTTATTCCGAGATATCAAGAAGACGATTTGGACTTTTTTGCTTCAGAGAGGAATTTCACTCAAACTCCAAGAGATCGGTAAAATTATTGTCGTTTAAAAAAAATTAAATTAAATTTAGAAAACTGTCAACCTTTTCCACAGAAGTTGTTCAGCCTTATTCCGATTTGTTCAAGACACCAATGCATTCTAATAAAACTCCTGAGAAAAGGTTGTTTTAAAAAATAGATGTTCAAATTTTTCGAATTTTAGAATCTTGTCATCAATTGTTTCAAAAAGCAAAACCAATTCACAAATTGAAAAAGACATGCATCTTTTCTCATCTCATTCAGAAATTACTCCAACGAAAAGGTTTCAGAAATTAATTTTTGTTTTTTTTTGCCAATTTTTCTTTAGATATTTCACACCTGCTTCAGCTACAAAATCTGAACTACACTACAAAGATGAAGGAACAGATTTATTTAAAACTCCACAATATTTGAGTCAATCATCAAAAAACAAACGGTAAAACACATTATTCAGAATTGACGTCTCAAATTGTCAAAATTGTTCAGCTTTTCATTTTCGGGTGCGTCTCCGCAATCTGCTAGTCAAAGCCGAACACCGACATCTGAGATTATCGATTTCTTCAAATCACCAACTACGAAAACATCATTTACTCCTAGGAATGGAATGTCCAAACGGCCGAGTTTTTCTATAGATGAGGGACCTTCGGAGAATTATCATGAAGTCAGATCACCGATAATACGAACATCATCGTCGAACAGTTTGAAAAGGTCTGCCGAAAAGAAGAATTCACGGTAATTACTTGATTATTCATGAAACGATTCCAGAATCCTTCAGAACTCCTTCGAGATTTGACAATGTTCCCAGACCATCTCCAAGGCGATCTTTCTTTGATGAAGTCGGGCGGGAAACCCCTCTTTCAGAAAAGTGCATTTATCAGTGGATGGAAAAATTCAATTCAAAAATATTTTCAGAAAATCATTCAAACCGGCGTCATCAGTTTCTGAAACGACGTCTGAAAATTCGCCCACTCTCTCATTTTCGAAAAGGTGAAATTAATAATGTTGCCCATGTGCTAAATCGAAGAATTAAGAATCAAATGCTCACAGGAGACGAGTTTCGGATTCTCGCCGATGGATGTTGAAGAAAGGAATGAGTCATTTAAAGAATCTTCACCAAATAGGTTTAGAACATGCTAAAAATTGTTGGTGCTAATTATCTATTTTAGCACGCTATTCGAAAACTCGATGTTTGCATCGCCGTGTTCGAATCAATCCAGATTGTCTGACTTTTTTGGTTCACCGCCGGAAAATCATGGATCATCCGCTTTTGAAGCAACTGGTAAATTTCAATTCAATCCAAACGAGGAGTTTAATATTGAAATGGGCACAACATCCGCGGAAACATACAATTTTGATATAATAACGACTTCTGGTGAAGATGTTGATAAATCGCTGCGCATCGATGCCCAGAGTGCTTCATTTTTTGAAAATAATGAAGAGATCAATGATTACAACTTGACCCAAAAGCTTCTCGAAGCGAAAAGCTCTCAATGATTTTTGTTTTGCTATGAATAGAATTCCTTGTTCGATTTACTCTGTGAATATTTTCATCTTGTATTTGTTATATGTTTTCTTTCCAAATATATGCGTTTATTAAACCAAATATCAAGGTTCATTTTCTCAAAATACCTGTTGAATTAGCCAGAAGCTCCGACTCTTGAGACGGATGTTGATTGTGGAATCGCGTTATCCTCAGTGCAGCACAGAAGGAAGCACGGACGAGTTGGACGCTTCTTTCGAAGGATTGAAACGAACACGATGCATGAAAGTGTTGGAGATTGGCAATAAACGATGAATTTAATGAAATCACTTTCTTCGATTGCATCGAATCTATGGATGTAGACGCGAGTTATGATTTGGACAAGCGCCATTACCTAAACCAAATGAATTTAATTGGAAATGAGCAGTCGAGCTCCTTACCCCTTGAAACCATGCGATCTTTCCCGTCTGATCAAGCGTCGTCGGCTTCGTTCCATCGTAGTTCTCATTTTGCTGCGCATAGTATCTCTCTTTTCGAGTTTTCAACCGCACATAATTGTAGATCAAAAATGTGATCAAAGGGAAAACAATCTCTTGTGCGATGTTTGACTGAATAGAAATTCATGGAAGGAGCTGCGAAATCGCGTTACCTTGAACAAAACTTTGTCGATATCGAAATCGTTATCGCCAAAATAGAAGGCGTAGTCCCAGAAATTGTAGATGGCGTAGACGAAAAGTAGCACAAGCACATAAACGTGTTGACAAGGGCTGAAACAAAGATGAAAATCTAGAAGAAACATTCAACTTTGCTGAAACTGTCGCATTCTTTATTTTTGTGTTCAGAAATATCATGGGTCTCTCTTGTTTGTTTAATTACATTTGAAAGCTTGAGAAAATTTTTATACCTTCAAACCAATCGAATTCGTTGATTTTCTACGTCGGAATCGACCCGATCTGATCGAACGCGACATTTTGCGGATAACGTTTAAAAATATATTCGCATCCGCGATTTTTGTTTCAGTTTTTGCGATATTTTCTATTCAAAATTTCCGAGCTCGATATTAAAATTAGCCTAATTTAGATGGAAGTTTGTTTTAAATTACGTTTCGGTCATCCTAAGCCGCCAAATCATTTTTTTATTTGACCGAGTAAGTCGAAATTATCAACCTAATATTAAAAAGTTTCTTCATTCAAAGTCGTCAATATCATTCAATTCAAGAAATTCTTTTACCGTCGAATTTTTAGGTCTCAGCGCGACACTGCTTGGCTTCATAACAACAAACGTGTCAACATGAATTCATCAGTTTCGAACCAGAGTTGGGCGAAATGTTGCTAATTTGTCGTATTCCGCATTCCGCGTTTTCAAATTTTTCATTGTGTCCAATTCTGTTTCGAACTGACAATGAATCCCAAAAACTCACCCTTCGAGAAACAAATGAGAGAATGAGAATGACTCGGATTGTGCTAATTGTTGCAACGATATGAATGTCACAATGTGAGTGGTGAGTTGATGAAAAACACCTGCGGTGCTCAACCAGAAGATTATGGTAAGCGGTGTCGGATCGGACACAAAACTGAAAGCAAACACGGGCAAGGAAACAAAAATCAGCGGATTCAGAAGCAACCAACTTGAAACATTTGCAAATATTGGCGATCGATAAACACACGTTATTGATGATCAAATATGTCATTGACCAGAAATGCGCCTTCTCAAATTTTACAATTACTCTTTCAATTTTCGGTTTATTTAATGTTTCATTTTCGAGTTCGAACTTTGGAAGAGATTTCGAAATCTGATGAGTGAAAATAAATCACGGTCAAAACCAAACGGAAGGCTTGAATTCTCTTAAATTACCATTTTATCGTCTGCAATTGTGACGCATCGATATGCGATAATTCGGGGAATAAAATAGACGTAAGAGCACATCAGAAATTCGGCGGTCCCGGAGAAAAATGTGTAATATTCATGGGTGCCATTGTTTAGAGTTGAGTTATCACTCAAACTGAAAATATTATTTTTATTTGATCAATAGAAATGATGCATTCAAAACGTACACTGTTGTATTGTCTTGGAGCAGCGCTTCGGCGGGGTCTTGTGTTGAATTCATTGCCCGATAATGGCGTGTTCGAAAACTGCGGCGCTCAGTCGATTTTTGTCGAGAGCAGGTGAATTTCGGAGCCACAGCAGCATGCCTATCAAACAAAAGAAAATTTCCAGAACATGCTGACATCGATTACTAGCAGCGAAATGTCACATTTAGAGCATTACCGGTAAACTATTGGGATGCGTTACAGTACATACATACGGTATAAATCCGGTGTAGATTTACGGTTGGTTTGATTCAGAGAATATCGGTATTATAGGACCCGAATTTTTTTACCATGGTCCACAATAATTCAAGGAGCTCGTTTTTTTGCGCCGGTGTCATATGCACTACAGCTCACTAAATTTAATTATGACTACCATTAAGGATTCGATCTGCCGTCTGATAAAAATTAGTAATTTTGCGTGATATTTGACGCCCATAGTCAATAATGTGGATGAAGTCTTGCCAGGTTTGTCGATTCAGACGAGACCAGAATGTTCATGGCTTATAAATAAAGAACGTGGCATTAAAAAAAATAAATAAATATTGTTTTATTTTTCAATAATAAAAAGACGAGTTTCGACGATATACTGATGAGTGTTGCACTATTTATTTGTGATTCTGAAAAATATGAATCTATATGGTAAGCTTGCCGAACCCGCAATTGCCCACGACTCCAATAAAATGCTTGCTCGGCCCCCCAGCAGCATTCTCGTTTTACCAGAATTAACGCCACAAAGACCCAACTAATTTTGGACATTATGAGCCTTATTTCGTGATTGAAATGAGCTTGCTCACAATTTTTACGGAAATTCTCCCCGATATTTTTTCACGGAAGTTCTCTCGATATATATATATATATATTTCAAAAAATTATAATAATTGAAATTTGAATAGAAAAAGTACGAAATCAGTGGTATCGGTTTTTATAAAATTCGAAGCACTGTTCCATTATTTTTCTTCAACTAAGCCTCCTCTTTTCCTCGAGGACGCTTTTTTGCGCAAGTTGTCTGTGCTCTCCTTTCTCTCGCTGTTGCGCCCTTTGTGTATGGTGAATCAACAAGCGATGACGTGCGGTTCCATGGTGTAGCGGTTAGCACTCAGGACTCTGAATCCTGCGACCCGAGTTCAAATCTCGGTGGAACCTAGTGATTTTGCTCCTTTTACCTTGTTTTTAACAACTCTTTTTTCAATTTTTTCAATGTCGAGTGAACTCGGGTCCCACGCTGGCGATTTTTACAGGTAGCTCACAATCGGCTAAAATTTTTACCGGTACGGGTTCGACCCATTTTTAGTACCGATCGGACTCAAATATCGGATCCCAGTCGAATGAAAATCGGTAACTTATCGGGTGCCTTGGTCAAATGAGTGGATGTTAGAAAATATTCGGATGCTGAGCGGAGGCGCAGTCCGAACTCACAAACTGCAATTTATTTCAATTGGAGTTAAAAACGATCGTTTCAATTAGTATTTTATTAATGAAAAATGAATTGGCAGCTTTTGAAACTGACAAAAACCCAATGATGCATTAGATTTTGACAAACTACAAAACAAACAGTGAATAATTGAGCATAGGATGAATGGACGACAAGCTGAAAAACAGGAAAAATCTCGTTGAAACTAAACGAACAATTGAGAATCTTTACGGAGTTAAGAGGCAATTTTGGAATCCTAGAGGCTGATTTGCAATATTATCAGTGAAGCAATTTGTAGAAAGCGATGAGGACGACTGGAAGGATGGCGTAAGTCGAGGAGGAGTTGCAAACTGGTTTGTCCGAGCACTGGGTGACAATGCGCGAAACTCCCAACGATCCCTTAAGAAAATTTCGTTAAATTCTAGAGAATTAGTCAAGGACGCATGAAAAATATGTTCCTTTCGTGCATAGATCAAGACTCTTAAACGTGTTTTATCAATTAGATTTGTCCTAAACAAAAAAGTGTTTAAAAAAAATGTTTAACCTTGTTGGACTTGTTGCTGACGTCTTCGCCACTGTAGGCACACTCACGCACAATCGAATACTCGCCTGGAATACAGAACAACGTTAATTCGAATAATTGGCCAAAAACATACTGTGGATGTATTGACGGATGATACGGCATCCGACGGGTTTAACCGCTTTGCGGCCATCGAAGGTTTTCACCGGGCAAACCTGGAAACAACTAATACATTTATTATATGCTTCTGCTCTTTTTAATAATATAAATATAAAAATTGCGAGAAAAAACGAGCAGCATGCGCCAATTTACGGTGAGTTATCTTCGAAGGTTATCTAGAGTACGATACCCTCATTTCCACTGATTGAATCGACATTTGAATTACCGCCCCGAACAAATACAATCGTCCAAAAATACTCAATGTAGTCGTTTTTTGTGACAGTTGTAACATCGAAATCAGATTTTTAAAATATTCAATGAAAACAAATCGAAAATCAATCGAAAAAAATAAACTTTAATATCAATTTTCGAACAATTTTTAATATTTTTTGACTTTTATTCCAAATTCTTTTACTGAAGAACATGGATTAAGGAAAAGCACATTTTAAGAGGTCCCAGCAATAATTCCGGTTTTCATCAAGATTTCAATGTATCATCTACTATTAAAACGTAACTTGTAATGTTTAAATTCGAATTACCTTCGAGAATGATTCATAATTGTCAACACATTCTGGATCTTTGAGACTGTTGCAGATATAGCAGTTGAGAGCGGTGGTGACGGCGAAAAGGCATGAGATGAAGATGATGTTGAACAAACCACGCATTTTTTCTCCTGAAGAATGCAAAAAATATATAAAAAGAAGATAATAAATAATGAAGAACGAAGCGAATTGAGCACATGAGATAAGATTAATGGCAGGAAATAGTTGGAAGGTCACAATGCCGAAAATTCTTTTTATGTGTGAATTTGAAAAAAAAAAGTGAAATATGAGAGAAAAACGGATCACAGAAAAGAAAACAATGGGATATGTATTGGTCGGTGAAGTTCTTCTCATCACTAGCGTTCAATTTTCCAACTTTCCTGACATGCTGACATCAGCAGCGCATCCATCGCTATTTTTTGTTTCGCCTACTTTTATTTTTAAAGAATATTTAATGCTTTATATCCATTTATGCGTGCTCGATTCCCATAAATTTGCTCGTTATAGATTTGACGCTTTGAATAAATTCCGCGGCGCAAACGAGAATTTTTTCAATGAAATAAAAATGCTGTTTTTTTAATAACAACAAGAAACAGAGCACTCGATGAGGAAAGTAGTCCACTTTTCTATTCTTCTCTTTTCCAAGAATGACTAGTTAGTTGACGACGAAACTTGAGAAAATGTGTGAAATTGGGTAAATGAGAAAGGGAAAAGTCAATGCCAGCAGTGATTTCGAGACTCATCTTTTCTCTCGAATTTAACCAGATGTTGAAGAATGTTAGCTTTCATTTACATGAAAAGAGAACGGAAAAATGGGAAAAAAATATTAAGAAAATTTCGAATTGTGCACTTTAACGTTGAGATGTATGCACAATACACACTATGTGACGACACTTTATTTTATTTTCTCTATAATTTCAATTTTATTCTCATATTGCAAATTATTTCAACCTATCCATTCAAGTTTTCGTTTATATTAAATTTAATGGCGAAATTAATTGAAAATGTGTAACTCGAGATAAAAAAAGAGCGATAAATCAAGTAAAATTATGATGAAAACTGGTTTAGTGACATTCGGAGTTTAGTAGAGCGTCACCAAATCGCATCGTTTCGACCTAACCCCTCCCAAAAAAGGGACGAAGCGAATCAAAAATTGGGGGGTGCAGAGGAAAAAAGAGAAACCAAAACCAACGCGAAATTCCCGTCTACTTCGCTTTTTGGCGTCTCAAGAGAATTGAATAGCAAAAACAGGCACAAAATAAAAGAAGAAGGACTGCAAAGAATGGAATGCGAAGCAAATTATTGAGCTCTACTTTTCGCCGTGGTGGCGATGACAATCGACCAATCATTGTTTTTTCAATTTGTATTCGTTTCGGCTTTCAAATGTTTACACAGTTGAATGACCGAGAAAAATGTTACTGTTTCCAAAGGTTATTAGCGAGTGAGTTTGAAAAACCGCGACAAATAGAAATATATTCATAAAATGGAGTTTAGGAAAAAAAAACTTTATTCCGAAAAGAAGAAAAACGGCGGAGGAGAAGAGAAACTCGACGCGAAAACTCAAAGCGAAGGAGACATTTATTCGATTTGCAAGTCGCTAGGACACCACCCCATAACTACATCAAATGGTAATACGCAATATTTCCTAAAAAGGAGAGCTAGATATAGAGAGAGAGAGGAAGAACATGTCATGAATTATAAGTGTGGTTTAGCTGGAAAAAATAGTTGGTCGAATAAAGAAGAAGATTCGAGGAAGGTAAGCAAGATTAATCGGATTGAGATGAAAAGAAAATGTTATATTATTATAATTCTATTTTTCAGAAAATAAAGTGCAATCGAGGGATTAAATATACTAGGGAATGGCAAAAGATTTGAAAAGTAATGGAATTTGTTTGGTTGGTAAAATCCGTTTCAAATATAGTTTTTCAGAGAATCAATTTGAATACCAACTTGGACTTGTGGCAAATTTCACTAAATTGATGTTATAATGTCCGCAATTGTACTACAATTATAAGCCAGTGACCAACCACAGCGGATAGAGAGAATTTTTGACATGAAAAATTTCGTATTAATGACCTCGGTTTCGACCTCTACTCTGATTCACCAATTTTTGAAGGTTATTCTGACATATTTCGATAAGCAATGATCGACGTTTCAAAATGTTGAACAGACGAGAAAAAAAGTTGAAATTTTGGCGGCGAGTCGAAATCAAATGGCAGTGTCGCAACGAATCAGTATCAGTTGCTAGAAAAACGAGGAAAAATGGGCAGAAAAAGAATGTCGCGCAAATCGCGCCTCTTGCTTGCCTCATTGTTGTAAAATACATAGGAGAACAATGATGGAGACAGCATGAATGATGATAGCAGAGGAAGACGCGAACGGCCGGCTCTGTCGACAAATGTGTGCTCGATAGATAGATGTTTTTGTTTCAATATATTTACTTGTTTATTGTCGCACAAAGAAATTGGAGAGAAGGCCGAACGAATGCGCAAACTTTTTACTGTTTTGTCTTGACAGCTGCCGGCGAAATAGTTTGCAAGATGTGGAGACGGAAAAGAATGGCAACGGCGCGCCGCGCGCTCACTATTTTTTATGCGAACCATGGGAAAATTCTTCTTTAGGTAAACCAACGCAATACGTTTTTTTGTGGACAACTACGAGGATTTATTTTGAAAAGTATAGAGAAATCTCGTTTTCATGGCTCTGCGGTTGAGCGCAAAAGAGGAAAACCTGGGGGACAATTTTTATCAATTTTTTTTTGAAACGTTTCTATTCAAATGATTCATTTCCAATACACAATTGAAACGATAATATTGGCTGTTTGGAACAACACAAGACAGAGAAAATCGATTCGATCGAGAATGCGAAGCCATAAGAATTGGTTGAACTGACTCGTCTGCAGGCGGTCAATCGCCTCTCGGACTTGCAATGCTGTCTATAACACATCAAGTTGTTTTTTTTCTAACTGAAAACATATTGGATGAACACGCCTGTTGAATGGACTCCTTCAGCGATTCAAAACTTGATGATTCATTGGTGAGCATCAATTGCGGTGCATTGATTTGTCGTCCGGTTGGTTGATCGTCTCTGATTTTTCGACGCTTGCACATCTCGAACAGAATGAGGTATCGAAGCCTGAAAACGACGGCTCAGCGTCTTCTTGAGCCCCGATCGCATGACATTGATGTTGTACAACTCATCATTAAAAAGTGAGATGTAAACAATAAACAACAAGAATGAGAATGAATAGCGAACTCACCATTTTGGCGGTTTTATTGCTGTCGTGTGCACATACTGATGAGTGGCGTGAATGGCAATTGATGCGAGAGTCGCCGCGGTCACCACAAAAACCTCCGCTATTATGTAGTTCCCTTTAATACAATTTTTGGATATTCAACAAGAAAATTGAGGATGAATGTCTGAATGTACCTAACAACGGCAATCTCGAGGCTTTTGGCATCATTTCGGAGACCAAATTGAGCATCAACGAGATCGCAGCGAACATATTCAAACATAATGGAACTTTTCCTTTTCGTTCGAGCTCGCTGCTGAATGGTGTAAATACTCCGAATATGGTCAATGTGCATAGGATGAATGTTGGAGCCTATCAAAATGAACTAATTTTCGTCATTCGGCGACAGTTTCACCTGGATCACAAGAACATAATAAACGGGTTTGCGTTTCAAGTGGACTGTATACGTTATCTCGGAGAATTCGGTTTTCTAAATTTTATTTAAATTTTCTTTATTATGTGACTTTCAAACCAATATATGATCGAAGTTATTCGATTGAGACGCGATGATTTCTGTGAGCTCCCATTCACTATTTCCCTGTATCGAATTTATTTTTAGAATCAAACTGATTGAGACATACCTCAAATCGTTCTTTCTCCGGTGAAATATGCTGGAATTTAGACGAGACAACTACTGAATTGTTGCCAAAGTTCCATGGTCCTATCGCGATTTCGCATTCCTGTTTGTCATAGGGAAAATTTTCGATTCGTAGTGGGCAGGGAACATTCACCTAAACTAATTCGTTCTAAATCTCTTGAAGATTTAACCCAAAAAATTCGAAAATTTCAGTAAAATGAGAAAAACCGTTCGAATTGCCGCCAGAGCGGCAGTGTTTGCGGACAAGAGACGGTTTTTTTTCGCAAATATGTTTCTACTTTCGGTAATTTCTCAGCAAGCCGAGCGGGCGAAACCGTGGCAGAAACTAGCTGAAGGCAAAACTAGGGTGAAATTGTGGAACAACGGTGGCAGAAACCGCCGATGGCACAACTAGGGCAAAAATGAGGGCACAATGGTGGCAGAAACACTGCTGGCACAACTGGGGAAGAAGCGTGGCACAACGGCGGCAGAAAACACGACATTTAAATCGATTTACGGTTAATCGAGGGCAATGTGTATTAGGAGTGCCGTACTGGCAGTGTAAAAAACATTTGAGACGAACGGTGTTTTTAGCAATTTTTTTTCAAATGTTTTTTTTTCGAATTGCTGAACTTGTTTGTTTTGATTGATTTTCTAACATTAAATGTTAAACACGTAAGCGTTAATCGCGAAAGTTGTTGGCAACTCCGATATTAATTGAAAATTAATTATGGATGATTGAGAGATTTATGATCAATTATCAATAAATTGCGATATCGAATCGCAAGCGGTGGTACCCCAGAGTAAAGGTAGATTTTTAATTCCATTATTAATTGAGAAATATAGAGAGCCAGTATTTGTTGGAAATATCGCGTTTGCTGTATCCAATGATGTTGTCGGCACCAAATCTTCCGAAAGTTTTTCAAGCAGCCGAGATGATTATAAAGAACAACGTGAAGGTAAGAACTCGTTTTGAGCTACACGCTGTCGATGGTTTCAACATTTGTAGGCTAGAGATGTTGAAGTTTTTACGAACGACCTATATAGGAATTGCTTTTCGTCGATATAATCTATATTTTGCTCGGAATGCCTATCAAGTATCGACGAAACTTTGCATTTCTGCACTAACAGCGATTGGTGAAAGGATGCGTGAAAGGAACGGCTACAGAAGCAACAATCGTTATAACGTATTCCATAATGGCTCAGTTACGACGCATCCTTAGAAATTGTGGAGGCGAAATAGTTGAAACACACAAGTTTCTTCATAATGAGAGGGTTGGTTTTAAAAAAAATTAAAAGTGCTCTATTTTGGGAAAAAAACTTCCAGAAAACCGGAAAATAGTGCGATTCGAACTACTTAGTTACGATTTCGTTCTTACAAACAAAAAATCCAAATTTCGCCGACCTCTCCTTGTTCCACCATTCAAAGATGTATATCGACAGTATGGAATCTAGGGAAGATTTTTCTAGGAAAAACATGAAAATAGGTTTTTTCGGAGGTTCGCTTTTAAAAATTTCTTTTCGATAGTCAAATACATTCCTAGACGCCAGTCAGCGCGCTTCGCGCAATGAAGACGATACCAGCCGCATCAATGGAAATGCCACCAATTAATTCGACGAATGCCGATCAACCTTCATATATTTATCTTTAGTGGTGGTATTTTTTCCTAATTTACATTCATCATTTGATTACAATTGAATACGACCAAATTCGGCCCTAACCAGCTTTAGTGAGTTTCATATCGTGCAAAATTATAAAATTCGAATATCACTAGGATCTGATGATCGTCAAAATTCGATTCGAATGCATTTTTATTTGTTTTTCGTATTTACGGGTTTCGATTACGGTCAAATTCGATTCGGACAGTTGCTATCGCATATATTGTTGTATATTCCTTGAACATATTGTTTTATTTAATTAATAATAAAGTTTTTAATTAATAAATACTCTTTCATTTGCTTGTTTCTGCAAATGAAATAATGTAAGCGCGAATTACGCTAAACGGAGGGCTATAACGACCATACGCGCTTACATCTACTTGCTAGCAGAGTGGGGCAAAACGCGGGCAGAATGGTGGCTAAACGCGGGCAGAATGGTGGCAGAAAGCGGGCGTCCGTTACTTTTGCCACCATTCTGCCACGGTTTCGCCCGCTCGGCTTGCTGAGTTATCTAGATTTATTAAAATGCGAGGGGGCAATAATCAGAAAAAAATATAAATAAGTGGTAGTAAAATGGTGCAAACACCGTGACGCAAATGACACAGAAAAACGCAAAAAACACACCGTCTCATTCGAATTTTTTTCGATCGGCTTTTTTCGCAACAATGTTAAAATATTTTTAAACTTTTAAATCTGACTTCACACTACTATTCGACCTATAATTAATGCCATAAAAGCAGTTTAAACAGTCGATCGAATTTGGGTGATTTCGTTAATTCATTAAAAAATACAAACCACTCCTGGAAATGAAGCTCGTATAACCCCTTGATAGTTCAAATCTGCCATTAATTTGTCATTTTCGATAATTTGTTCGGTTTTGATTCTGAAATGTCGAATTAGTCATCAGAAAACGGGATGAGATTTCAACGCATTCGTAAACACAACTCCCGGGGTCCAGACTCGCCGAATCGGAACTTTAACCCAATCCTTGTGGAACGATGCGTTTGTCGGATTCCAGTGTAGAAGGGGATCCTTCCAAACCTCAAAAAAGATTTCGCGGAATCGCCGCAAATTTTGTGGCTTGAAATAAGAGATACCAATAAAAATTCTTGCATAAACTCTATAGTTTCTTGTTGCTGATCCATCGAGATCAAAAGAAAAGTGTTCGGGACCACTTCGACATTCGTAAGCTCATCTGATGGCTTCATATTCGGGTCATATCTTATATCAAATATCTCATCAATGAGTTTTGTAGTTCCAGAAATTTCTGTAACTTGGTGAAGTGTTTTTAATAAACCAAATCGAAATGAAAATGAAAAACCTATGCCATTCGCAACAATAAGAACAGCGAATATCATGAGTGTGAAGCGTTTTATTTGCATACAATACATTATATAGAGTGAAATTGAAGACAAATTGAAATGGGCTCGAGAATGGCGTACAATTAATAATGTGCGAATGTTTTGAATATATTGCACATCATTTAATTGGGGGCTGCCGAGTTGTCATTCATTGGCGCCGTTCGCTGATTCGATAGACGCAGTAGTCTGTAGCACATGAATCCTGTGAGAATGCGGAATCCATTTTGGAATTGCGCTATTCAAAATACGTTTGACTGTTTTGCGGTAGTTTTTGATTGTTAAAAGGGTTCCAAACGGTTCGACAATTGGGTAGATCACAAGAGTTATTGAAAGAATATTCGCCTTCTCACCGATGGGAATTTGGAATATTGGAAACAAATAGAAGAACACGACTGGAATGAATATTAGAATTGTTGGGACCATCGTCTAGAATTGAATTGAATTATTTTAAATCCATTAATTCGCCTTGAATTTACTTGAACAAGAAGAGCTCGGAATAATTGCTTTTGAATGACCATATGATTGGATAATTGAACAGTTTTCTCAGACATTCCTCTATATGTGTAATAACCGCAATAAACTATTGTCGCCGAAAGAACCAACTGGAAAACATTGAAGAATCGAACTCAAATACAGAATTTCGAACAAATTAATTAGGAAATATTTGAGATATTTTTAAAAATATTTTATTAATTTTGATGAGAATCGCGCTAAAAAAATACTTACAAAAACAACGATAAGCGAAATTGTCGTCGATATTGTTATCCAATTGATTACGGTTTCTCCTTGTTGATTTTTCGACTGAATTCTACTATTTTTGTCGGAAACTCATTTTCAATAGTTTGTTTTTACGTAATATTCTCCTGCTACGTAGTTGACATTTTCAATTGCCGTGTGATATGCTGTCGCCAATTCATTTCGAAGTTCAAAATCTTTGGCAGCCGGAGCTTGACTGCTCACTAACGCGAATATTGAGTAAACCATGACTAGAATGAAGCCGAGACCGACCCAATAAAAACGATAGGTGCCTTGAAAAAAGATGAGATTTTCGATTCTGAAATGATATTTAAGATTTATATGCCGAACGTAGTGTTATTACTTGCTCATCGCGAAATATCTGTAAATGAATTGAAGAGCTAGAATGAATAAGGTGAAGCCGAAAGAAATGCAACACATCGCTGAACCAAAATATGCCATTCTATGAGAAATGTAGATGAAGCTTACTCAAGAGAACTACAACTCCCCAAGATGGTAGATCAAGAATTTTGTCGGCAGTGAACATCATGAATGAGCTTCGATAAGTATGAAAGTGCTGGAAAATCCGTCAAAATCTCAATTATGTAGACTCAAATGCACCAACCTTATGCGTTACTCCGGCGAGAATTGAGAAGAACATGCTGTGGCCGCAAAACCAGGCCATCAAGTAGATATAGCTGCCGAACTGTTTAGGCGATTTCGTGAAAATGCAATACATCAGGAAAGCATTGACGGGAAGTGAGCACACAATCGAAATTACTTCGATGTAGTTGACCAACGCGATCCACATAATCTCAATGAGTAAGGTGTTGATTGAAGTGAAGAATAATAATGAATTTTCGTTGTACTTTTAATTTTCTTTTCAAAAAATGAATGTATCGTAAACTCGAGTAAAAATGCGGAATTGAATTTGTTTATCACAAAATCCGCCTTAATTTGGTGGAATCAGAGAACACTACGAATCTGAATCAGATGTCCTTTTCAATTATAATCCATTGATGAATCATTGTTTGTAATCATAAATAGATAGAATGAGCATACTACAGTGTTGCTACCAGCATCTATAAGCTCCGATGGATAAATTATAGTTCCCCCGAAAGACATTTTCAATATAAAAAAAAAGTTTCGACTATATTGGGAGGGGGTGAAGCCGGCGGCACCAGGACTGAGACAGAAAAAAGAAATTCGATAGTGAATGAATTTGTATGGATATGGAAAGTATATAATATTTGATTAAACTTGATAATTTCGGTCTAATAAACAAAAATGGCTTGGCCGGCTTCGGCCAGACATAACCATATTTTGGACGCCGACTGACCGAAACGACAAGCCTGATATTTGCTAAATTCAAAAATAATTCAATCACCGACTGCCATCCCCTTTCAAATGAAATATGAGGCAATTGCTGGGATTGCCTCCACAAACTCTACAATTTCAGATAAATCCAAAACAAAACAAATAGCTTTTAGTGCTCTTAAAATAAAACACTGAAAATTAAAGCGTGGTGTTGAAAATGGCTTAAAAACTTACAAGGGAGGTCTTTTTGCTGTCCGTCTAAACCTCCCTTGTTGGCTTATTTAAAAACGAAATAAATTTCAAAAATCGGCTAGAATAGAATTCGAGTTTTCATTAAATCAAATAGACATTCCCAGCGCTAATTTCAGTTGATTTTCGTTTTTTGACTCAACGAATTTGTCGCGAACTCGCGAATATTTTATTGCCGGAATGCAATTGCGAAGGGTTTAACCTGTAATTATGAAGAAAAGCAGACTTCCACATAATAACAAATATGTTGTTTGCAAACAGAAACGAGATTTTTTTTCAGAAAATTTGTCGAAAATTTATACAGTATCAACAATATTTTATCGTTATTAATGAGTCACCAGGAAATATTCGAAAAATTCGTGAATAATAATCTAAATAAATCTATTCAAAAATACTGCATTTATCCAATTGGGATTCGTTAAATGATGGTTTTCTTTTTTTCTCACATTCTGAATTAATCCGAGATGGCGAATTTCACCATTGGCTGAACACCCGACTCGGTTATTCTTTCTTGAACGAATGTTTTTGAAATTCAAAATAGAATTATCTATGTCATTTGTTGCACTTTTTAATGCTGAAAATCACAAAAGCGCCATTGTTTTGAGACAAAATCACATTTTTCAGAATTTGGGAATGAGATCTCAAAAAAAAAGACGAATGAAATGGTCGACTGATAAACGAAAGAAAAAAGAGTGTTTAAAATGTTAGCAGCGTTGCTGAAAATCTCAATCAAGCATAAAATGAAGTTGCAAAAAAAACAGTTTAGACTAAAAATATTTTGACAAAAATTTTAAATTTTCAGATTATACATATAATTATATAAATCAAAAAAAGGATATCGTTGAAAAAATCGAAAAATTTTTCATATCTGATGACAACAATTCTTTGCAGTGGAGGCTTTTGTTTTCCAAAAGCCATAAATGAAATCTGTTTTTAGTACGAGAACATTCCCCCAAAACGCAATTAATTTTTATATATTTGGCAGGCATCCGTTGGATTTATTCAAATGCATTAATATAATTTATTTTTTTCCTTATTTAGTTTGACTTTTACGTGCTTCTTATTTGATAAAAATGAAAGTCATTTCTAGTAAACTATAAAAAAGCGATAATCTGCCATTTTTAGAATTCGATAAACTTCCATCCAAATACGGCGATTTTCAAAGGCATACGAGCGCATTCAAAAAGCAATCGAATACGATAAATTTCGAACCAAAACCGATCGCGAGCCGAAATTTGTCGTAGACGATTCGAAACGAATCATCTGAGTATACATAAATCGGTTTAGGCACTAATTTCGTATACTCATCAATATTTCAGATGTCTTTCAGTAAAATTTAATTCTTCACCAAAACTCGATTAAGAAATCCTTGAAACGGCGGATTCCGATTTGCCCCGTTTTCGTATGTCTACACTGACGCAATTTTAGAAGCATTTAATTTCACACCTAAAATTGATATCAATTTCATTCTGAAATGCCGCAATTCAATCTTTGGAACAATTTTAAGCCTAAACTTAATTTTTAAACTATTTCTTTTAATGATTACTTCTTCATCTAAATGAACAGATTGAACTTTTTTCTTCATTTTTTTTTAATTACAATTCTTCATGTAAAAGTTTATGTCCAAATTTTAAACGTTCATTTTTGTTAATCAAAATTATTCCATTTTGTTGTGGTCTCGACAAGTTTGCCAATTTCTCCTGCAAATCGCAATCTTCTGATCGAAACATGTCTGAAGTCGGCCACAAGATGATCCGTCTTAGCTCCGAGCTGACTTGCCTGACGATGTTGGTTTGGTGGCCCTTGCCGATATTATGCCGGTCCAAATCGATATTTTGATCATCAGATAATAGACCTCAAATTCCCTTCCTAATTGTCGAAAATAACGAATGAGTAGTGTTTTTCATTTTTATTCAATGGCAGGAATATGCAATACATATTCTGATAGTTCTCCGATCTCGAAAGCCGGTAGAGTTTTATCGGCTTTAATGTAAATTTAAAAATTAGGCGCCTGGTTCGACCCTGCATTTTTCGAACAAATTCAAAAAATCAAATTTTTAATATGTAAAAAAAAATTTAATATGTCGAATGCCTTCCTACAGGGTGCGGCAAAATTACGAGTGCACGAATTTAACGCAAGCTCATACGCCACTTACAAATTATTTGCACATTTTTATTTGTTTATTTTCTTTTTTTTTTTAATTTTTTTTCTGATGTTGGCGACTGCTGTATGTCGATTTACGGGTATGCTTCTTTCTCTTGGTCTCGCACGGACTAACTGATTATTTGACATTTTGTGGACCAGTTAAATAATTTTTTTTAATCGAATCACGTTGGAAATTCAAGGAAATGCGAAACTCATCAAGAGGGCGGGACCTTTTCAAGGCGCATGCGCGTAAATCTACCCGCGACAGCAGTCGCCGGACGCCGACTATTCATATGTTCATGGAATTTACACACAACGCCGACCGCCGTTGGAATTGACAAATTTGACGAAATTCAATTTTTTTAGAATTGATCAAATGATATTTGAATGACTCGTTTTCATTTTCATCTCTCAAATTTTTATCATCATTTTCTTTTTGTGAAAAATCTCGAAACTAATTAGCGCTAATTGTGGTGAGAAATACTTATTATTCATAGTTTTTTAGTCAAATTAAGAAAAAAAAGCCAAATATTAAAATAGTATATTAATTGTCATCATGATCACACCCACACATCAGTAATCATAAAGATCCGTATAAGTAAAGAGGCGATAGAGTCGATGACGAGAATTGAGGATCCGACACTTCTCATGGATATTCATGATCTCGAAATGATTCGGGTTTTGTTCGTCTTGAATTGCGATGATCGTCACAAGACCATCGATGCGATCGCGGTCCCGATAGGTCGTCTCCATGGTGAACGAGAATTTGATGAAGATTCGACCATTTTCCTCAATCGTCTGCGCTTCATCTCCAAATAAGTGCGTCTAAAAATGATAGGTTAATAGACGAATTTTTTTTTTGAGGAATCTCCACCTTGGCAGTGATCATATTTTCCAACTGATTCTCCATAAACGACTGGAAATTGTCTGAAAAAATAATCAGAGAGTCATTAGGAATTCGACGCGAATTTTGGCAATACCGTGATCTCCAACAAATCCGCACATCGAGTATGTCATATTCTTGTGGGTGATGAACATCAGCGTGGTCACGTCTCGAGTCTTGATGGCTGCCTTGATGATTTTCATCATTCTAGAAGCATGTAGATGAGCAAACGAAGTGGCATTACACGCCTAAAAAACAAAATATTGAAGTATGTTCTCTTCTTAGTGAAGAAACATCACGAACCTGATAAGCGACGAAAGCAAGAAGAGAGATTTGAAGAAGCAATCTCATATTGGACACCAAGTTTCCTGAAAACACCGCACTTTTATACATCGTTTCGTAGTCATCACATAAAAAATTAATGTGATGGGATTTTAATGGCAAAAAATAAACGAATATGGTCACAATTACATGCACAATTGAATGTTTCAGAGGAAAATGAGGAGAAGAAGGAGGTGGTGGCCCTTTAAATAGGGCGGTCGCTCAAAATATGACGGATGATTAATCAGAGCATCCGCAATTTGCTTCAGATGAAATCAAAATTACGTGTGTTTTTTTTTTTTGAATGACGTGAGGTTGGGTTGGGGATCGACGAGAATCAAGAGGCCAATTTTTGACTCGTCGTGTGGTCAACTATTTTTGAATTACGGGGGATGAAATAGAGGAATCATGGGCTCAATTTATAATAATTGGAACACAAGAGAAAAAAAGTAGGCGGAATACTTTCTAGGAAATTGTGTCGCTTTTATAATTGTTCGAATTAATTCAGAGCAATATTTTATTACTCTGTGGTCCATCGAGGCCGACAGGCGACCATCCCGAGATCTTATTTAAGATATCCTTGAGATTAAAGCTCGACTAGTAGAAAATAGCAGCTGTTGGAAAAGGTGATGTTGGGCATTTATGGGCAAAATAAAAGATTAGTTTAAATGCTCTGACATTTCGAAAAAATCGACGACGATCTCTCGTAAAATGTTCAATTATCAGACAAACATCCGGCCTAATTTTTGATCTATCATATGGTTAGGCAAAATGACGCCAATACCACACACATCGGCCAAAAAAAAATGCAGGCTGTTGGAAGTTCATACAACAAAAAATATTTTAATATTATAATATTCACTTGTTTGTATTCTTATATGTATTTATAATGAAAAATCGCCCATTACGTAATGAAGAAATGCTGCGACGAATCAAATTGTGACGTCGTTGGCGGGTTTTTGCAACATTCTTTCTAATCCAAAAATTCAGGAAATGAACAATTTGCACGTTTAGAATACAAACAAGCTCTTTGAATTGAGATACTTCCATGAAACTTGACATTCTTTCGCAATGGGTGGGTGAAATTAAAAACGCTATTATGTTAATCTGCTGGGCAGAAGAAAGGCGTCATTTTAATTCGACATTTTTGTGAGCTATTTTGAGAATTCCGATGAGATCATCGTGGCGAAGAAGAAGAAGAAGAAAAAACCATAATGGGCGTATGACAAATTAGGCAGTACAATTCACATAAATCAAAGGGAAAATTTTTTCTTGTAAGTCAAGATGACAGGGTTTTTTTTTTCAAAAATAGGAACATCCATAATTGGAATTCCAGTAAGATTAAAAAAACTGAACAGCAAAATGCATAAATAACTATTACAATACATAATCATCCCAAAAATGAACACCATGAGAAATTGTGGACCATCGTAGTTTCTTTTTACAATTAAAACAGTGGAATTCGGGTACCGTACTACGGATAACCTGCGAATCAAAACCTCCGTAAATCTACACAGAGTGCTTGTTTCCGTTTGCAAATTTACGACATATAAAACTGTTGGATGGATTCTTAATTTTTGGTATACATAGGAGGGACAACTGTAGTAATTTAAGTATAGTCGGCGTCCGGCGGGTAGATTTACGCGCATGCACCTTGAAAAGGTCTCGCCACGCGTGAACGCTTATTTTGCTGTTTTCACGTGAACGACTTATTTTTTTTATGAGTTTAGTAATTCCTTGAATTTCCAATGTTATTCGATTTAAAAATTATCGAACCAAGCCCGTAAATCTACCCGCGTACAGCAGTCGCCGGACGCCGACTATACCTCTTTCGAAATAAAAAATATTGTTATGAATCGTTCCGCTAACAATGATCCCTTCGAAAACATCAATACAAAATAGTTACCCTTAATGTTCGCCGAAAACGAAGCCCGTTCGTCTCTTTAACTATTGATCATGAATTTTTTTTTATTTTTCAGAAATGTGCTGACCCGTCCGAGCGAAATACAACACTAATCAATCGGAGATAACAACTATTCTTTTTTTTTTGTTTGAAAAACAACCATTTAATGTTTGATTTTTTTTTCGTTGCCATTCTTTCTCAATGAATATTTTCAAATCTTATTCGCAATATTCGAATTAACATACATTGTCGAACACAGACAATTGTCGGACATTTAAATAATTTTGGTCAAATTTAATTTTTTTTTTAATTTTTGGGGAGAAATTATCAAACAAATTTTTGAATGCTCCTTTGACAAATAAATAGTTTTAACTATTTGACTATAGAAAATTGGCAAAATGCCAAAACACGTAAAAAGAGGTCTCGGTGAGTGGTGTGTGCCTTTAATAAATCCTCAAACATGGGCCCGTAAATCGACACTTTAATTTTGCGCAATAAACAAAATATAGCAATATTGATTGAATTTGAAAAGTTCTATAAACGTCTCCAACCGATCTATCAGTTTTTGATCTACTCTGAAAATAATCCGATTTTACTGAACTCAATATGTATGTCACATTTCAATCAACTGAATTGATTTTTTTTTTCATCTACAGACAAAAAATCAATTTTTGGGTGTTTCAACGAACTTCCAAAATGCCAATTACTCGATAGGTCATTAAGAAGACGTTGATTATTGCGGGTCGTTTTCGTTTCGGGAATCGAACACTTGTCATCACAAATCATTATCATCTCCTCCTCCTCTTCCTCTTCCTACTCCTCCTCTTCCTCCAGCCCTTCTATTCTTCGCCTTCGACGTTCCAAACATGTCCCGCCAACTACTTATTTGTTTTTTTTTTGTTATTAATGATCACAATTTTATTGAACCTTTCCCAAAAATTGTTGCAGCCGATTCCCAAAATTCACCCACTCACCCCCACTCAGCCAAACCACTTCTCTTCGGGCCATCATTTAATCGGGTTGAAATTTGCATAACTGAAAAAAAAATGTGAATCATATCATTCGCATAGTTAGTTTTTTTTTTTGCATAGTTAACCGCTCGATTTTTTTGAGTTTCCGATGATGATCGGTTTGCCATTTCAGAAATTTTCGTCGAATGTTCCCATGAATGATACAACTGAACTGATAGAAGTGAATGGACATCAAGATAAAAACAGGTATGTACGCTTCACCTGAACGGTCTTTTCTTGGAAAAAGTGCCGTCTAATAATCTTACTATTGATTAACAAAGAGTTTTTGGAATATTACAATAAATATTAATTTAAAGGGGAAAAAAATAGAAAATTGCATAATCAAGAAATGCGAACAAATGAAAAAATATTTTGTGAATCAAATAATAAATTCTATAATTATTTGATGCTTGAAAAATATTTTTTAAGTCATGTAAGATATCCTTAAATTTATTGAGAAAATTCTAAATTATTTCAATAAATTTTGAAATTTTAAAATACGATTAAAAGATTGTTAAGAATACAAAACTAACAAAATAAAAGTATAAAATAAAATGTAAAATATAATAGAACCACGTTAGTTTTTCAAGCAACCTCAAAATATTTTATTCGATTGTTCTACAATATCTCATTTTAAAAAATATCCCTCCTTTTCGCTAAAGGATATCTAAGAACCCTTTGAATTTAACAAATAATAATTCTGCAGATTTTGGAAAAATTCCAACACTTATTAATCTCTTTAAAAAAATCGGCATAGTGCAATAATTTAGTTCGCCGTCTTTCCTCCAATTGCTCAATGCTCCTCGAAACTCAGTGTGCAATGCAGCGACAATTCACAGTATCTCATCATTCAGGTTATTCAAAAATCATTTTTATGAGCTCTTCTGAATCATTCCAGATCCGATCATGTCTCCCGAAAATCGACCGTTAAATATTTGGATAATCCCAATCTTTTTGCCTTAGAATTGGTTGAAAAAAATTTCTCGACAAAAAAAACTGTTGATGGTTTTTAGGAGGAAAAACTATCGCAACCATGGATTGAAAATACATTCGAGAAGCGCGAATGCATTCGATTTGTCGGCCAACAAAAGAATTCTGAACGATGCGGATGCGGACGTCTTCTGTCGGCACATTCAACGGCATCGATGACGAGATTCTTCGTGGCTCCGCGATTGACACAATTCGAAGAAAATGAAACTTGGACAATTGCCAATAATACTCAAACTTCGCCGACAGATGCCTTTGGCACAATCGTATTTCAGGTTTGCGAGAGATTCACCTCATCTAGATATTATCTGGAGTGTTTAGGGTGGAGCTCATGCTCATAAAGCTCAATATGTCAGACTCTCATATGATTCTGATCCTCTCGATGTCATGTACTTAATGGAAAAAGTTTGGGGAATCGAAGCCCCTCGTCTAGTAATTACTGTGCATGGAGGAATGACCAATTTCGAGTATGTCTAGCTCATCGGATGACAAGCTAGCTATCAATTTCTTCAGAGTTCAAGAGCGAATGGGTCGGCTATTCCGAAAAGGGGTTCTTAAAGCTGCACAAACGACCGGAGCTTGGATCATAACTAGTGGATTGGATTCGGGAATCGTTCGACATGTCGCAAAAGCATTGGATGAAGCTGGAATCTCAGCGAGGATGCGCTCGAGAATTGTCACAATTGGAATTGCGCCGTGGGGAGTTGTTAGGAAGAAAGAGCGATTGGTCGAGATTTGAAATTTGGGATGGTAGATCAAAAAAACAAAATTCAGATTCGGAAGAACGAAGATGTCCAATACGATGTGCACTCACTGTCAGCAAGCGCAAGTGTCGGAATTCTCAATGATCGTCACTCATACTTCCTTCTGGCTGATAATGGAACGGTTGGAAGATTTGGAGCAGATTTGCACCTGCGTCAGAACCTTGAGAACTACATTGCAACGTATGGTTCGAATGGAAGGAAGGTTCCAGTGGTTTGCACGGTGCTCGAAGGAGGAATCAGCTCGATCAATGCAGTTCATGACTACGTGACAATGTAAGTTCGAAATCATTGGACTATGTGGCTTCAAAACAGAGTGTCTTACTGTATTCGTCGTTTTTTGACTAATGATCGATTTATAGAAAACAGAGAAAGTCCAATGAAAAAACAAAGAAATTCAATATTTGGATTAAAAAAAGACGATGTTAGAAGAGAAAGAAAAGAGTATAAAAAAAGAGTATCGGCGGACTACAAACTGATATTCGTATTCAAACAGGAACTACATACATTCGACTCATAGAGGTGTCCAGACAAGCAAAAAAAAAATTGAGCGTGACGCAGTTATCGAACATATGTTTTTAAGGTTGTTATAATATTTGCACTTTTTCAACAACGTGATATCTCAAAATGTGTACGAAAAATACTTCATACCAAAATTGGGAAGGAGGGATGCGAAATTTAGCCAGTATACTTTACACACCTATTACAGGAAGCCCGACATTCCTGCAATCGTTTGCGATGGCAGTGGTCGAGCTTCTGATATTCTCTCATTCGCTGCGAGATACATTGCTCCTGATGGCACATTCGCGGCAGAAGTGCATGAAAAACTGAGGAATCTCATTAAAATGGTGTTTCCTGATCATGATACCGATGCATTATTGAAAACGATTTGCGAATGCGCGGCTCGAAAAGATTTGGTATGTGAGAATGCGCAAAAATGTGCATTTTGATATTAATATTCAGCTTCGAATTTTTCAATACAGCGAAGAAGAATCGGAAGATGTCGATTATGTGATCCTTTCAACTGTTCTAGAGAAACAAAATTTGCCCCCTGATGAGCAGGTAACATAATTTGTGGATCATTTACGCCATAATTAAGCTGGCACTGACATTATCGTGGAATCGGGTGGATTTGGCGAAGAGCTGCTTATTCTCAAACGGTCGCAAATGGTCGGCAGAGATTCTTCAGAAAGCCATGAATGATGCGCTTCATTGGGATCGCGTCGATTTTGTCGAATGCCTTCTTGAGAACGGAGTTTCGATGAAAACATTCCTGTCGATTGATGTTCTTGAGAATTTGTACAATCTTGTTCGTATCAGACCATTTAAAACAACTTCATTGCAAAATTGAAGGACGATGTGAACAGTCCGCATTGCGTTCGGAATTGGTTCGAAGGATTCGATGTTCAAACTTATCTAACGATTCCGATGATTGGAAACCTTGTCGAGAAATTGATGGGCAATGCTTTCCAGCATTATTATACATCGAGGTCATTCCGATCAAAGTACGATCGGTACAAGATGTTGAGACAGGTACGCATAGTTTAACATTACTCACCACTTAACCAACATTCAGAATTCATACTTCTATAGGAAACGTCGATTCAAGAATAAGGAAGATTTCAAAATTGATCAGATTGGCGAAAATGGAATGACTTCCGAGAATCAAGGTTTTTCAAAGAATGCAAAAATCGAAGTCAAGTTAGAATCAATTTTACAGAGGATTTCAGTTTTGCATTTCCATTCAACGACCTTCTTATTTGGGCGGTTCTTACTAGACGACACGATATGGCAAAATGTATGTGGGTGCATGGTGAAGACGCCATGGCGAAATGTCTCGTTGCTGTGCGACTGTATAAGGCGACGGCGAAAATTGCAGAGGATGAATATTTGGATGTGGAGGAATCGAAAAAGCTGTTCGACAGCGCGATGTAATCTTGATTTCAATATGTGAAAACGATGAGCACATTCAGAAAATGTCGCGAAAATGCTATTGAATTAGTTGATCAGTGCTATAGGAATGATCACGAGCAGACTTTGAGACTTCTCCGAATGGAGTTGCCCCATTGGGGAAATCACAATTGCCTCTCATTGGCGGTGCTGGCGAATTCCAAAGCGTTTCTCGCACATCCATGGTTAGTTCGACTCGATTTTCAGACATATTGTAGGATTGTTTCAGCTGTCAAATTCTGCTCGCTGAGCTCTGGCACGGACCATTACGAGTGCGAAGTGGATCGAATCTTCGCGTGCTCACCGCGCTGTTGTTTCCACCAGCAGTTCTCCAAATGGCGTATAAACCAAAACGGGTGATTGTCAAGAATGAAGAGAATGAAGTAATTTAGCTCGAATCCTATAGAACCGATGAGATATAATTGATTTAGGAAAAAGAAAAAGTTGGCGACATGTCGGCGTTTCGGACCAACAGTATTGTCAGTGCCAATTCGGCAATTAATAAGGTTCTCCTAATTGAAAATCAATTCTGTCACTTTCAAAATTGATAGATTCGATCGCACAACACTAATTTTGACGAAACTCGAGATCTTCTTGAAAGCGGCCAAACGAAACGAGTCAAAATTGTGTCTTCTAGAAGGAACAGCGGCGGTGCTAGTGTATACGGTAGCCAGTCTAGTATGATGTTCAAGGTTTTGGCTCCACAATGCATCATACAATTAAAAGATGATTTTAGAGAGAACCGAAACTCTCAAAATTCGATAGATTCCATGCCTTCTACTCTGCACCAATCACCAAATTCTGGTCATGGTGTATTGCGTTTTTGGTGTTTCTAACGGCCCAAACCGGAATTCTTCTTGTCGAGACCCCACTGAAACCAACGAAATACGAATGGCTCACCCTTGTCTATGTTGTCACATTGTCGGTGGAGCATCTAAGAAAATTGTTGACTTCGGATGGATCTCGAATTCAGGAAAAACTCAAAGTGTTTTATGCGAAGTTTGCCCATCTAATATACCAAGTAGAATGTAACATTACTAGATGGTACAACATCTGGTCATCAGCAGCCCTAATTTTATTCCTGATCGGTTTCGGATTCCGTTTGTACCCACCATATCGGCATTCCGTCGGCCGAATTCTTCTGAGCTGTAGCAATGTTCTATTTTATATGAAGGTATTTCAATTATTCAGCAGTATTTTTTTGAGTAAGACAGTAGTATAGACTTTCGAATACCTCTCTGTACATCCATTACTTGGTCCGTATATTCAAATGGCTGGCAAAATGGTTTGGTCCATGTGCCAGATTGTCCTTTTGCTCACTGTCACTCTTATGGCTTTCGGTGTATCCCGTCAGGCCATCACTTATCCCCACTCAAAGTGGAGCTGGATTCTAGTCAGGTAGGAATTGACGTTGAATTCACAAAATTAATTCATTTAGAAATATTTTTTACAAGCCTTATTTCATGCTTTACGGTGAAGTGTACGCCGGAGAAATTGACACATGTGGAGATGAAGGTTCTTGGGTTTTTTTTCATTGGAAAAATCGTAAAAAATTGATTTTAAAGGTTTAAATTGTGTTCCGGGGGGTTTTATTCCGCCTTTCTTGATGGTTGTGTTCCTACTCGTCTCCAATATTCTTCTCTTAAATCTTCTTATTGCAATATTCAAGTAATTTGTCAAAATTATCATCGAAAATATTTTAAATTTACAGTAATATTTATAATGATTCAATCGAAAGATCAAAGGAAATTTGGCTGTTTCAGCGTTATGGCCAACTGATGGAGTATTATAATACTAAAAGAACAATCTAGAATATTTTTGAAAGCCTTCAGATATCATGACAGCCCATTCCTTCCACCTCCTTTCAGTATAATAGCACATGTTGTGAATTTCGTAATGTATCTCTGCACAGTAAGCCCGTTTATCTCATGCAATATTGAGAACAATTCGCAAAATTCAGCTAAGAACCAAAAAAGTGAACCGTCCACGAGTGACTTCGGCCTATTCAATTAGTATAAACTTCTGGAATTACCATTATATGCCCATATTTTATATTCTAGAACTCATTGTTAGTGAAGATGAAATGAAACGTCTTCAAGATTTTGAAGAGGATTGCATCGATACACTGACAAGAAGTCGTCGAGTTCTGCAGAATTCATCGAATGACTTGAATACGGCTGATTTGTAAGCTGATTCATATTCTAGATTTGTTAATTATGGAGTTTAGAACGGAGTTGACGTGTCAGAGAGTGCAAGATTTGATGCAGGAGAACTTTTCTTTAAAAGGAAGAATTTATGAATTGGAAACCAAAATTGATGTGATAGCAGACACGACAGAACTTATTGTGAATTCTCTGAAAACAACTAAGGTTACAAACTGATTGAAACGAATTCAAAAATTCAAAATTTCAGAGTCATTTTGTATCATCTCTGTCACTTCCTGACACTACAATTGAAGTTCCGAAGCTTTCGTAAGGTTTTTTGGCAGGTTGATATGTAAATGAAATATTGAAGACAAACTTCGGATGGAAATCATTTGGCAGCTGTGAACGAGGATCGTTTGAATAATAGCCGGTCACCTCTGATTGCAAATTTGCATAGGGACCACACTCTTCGCAAATACGACGATGTTGGCTTCCTCTGATCTTCATAAGATCGATAAGAATTTCAGGCAAACTTCCAAGCAACAACTTTGCAGCGCCGTCCAAGGCTTCATTCATCGTCATTGTCAATTTCACAAGATATGAGAGACATGAAAAAGCAAGATTTCTTTTTTTCAAATCTGCAGCAGGATTTGATACGGGTTTCATTTCAGCTCTGCTTCAATGAGAAATCTGAAACGTCAAGGTTCGTCGATAATTTCAACACCGTCTGAAGACGCGGGCGGATATGTGACAGATGAATCAGATGCGTCTTAAAACTAGTTCATTAAGGAACTTAAAAGCATGTATATATTAGGAAAATCAAACGTAAAACGGAAATTTGTTTTACTATTTTAATAGTTTGCCAAATAAACTATTTGATGGCTATTCAAACGTGAAGACAAGGCTCATGGAATTCGGGTTTCTTGGTTTGTTCAATTTCTCCTCGATCCGCCTGTTCTTCAACTTCGTCAACATATTCGCCGCTCTCAATCAATCTCAAAAGCCTTTCAAGTTCCTCATCGATGATTGGCGGCTTGTACTCGTCATCCTAAAATTCGAAATGAAAATCGTATACATTCCACCAAAAATTGAAGATTACCGAACACGAATCATTTCTAAATTTCTCGTATTTCTGAAAAAAATCAATTTGCTATTTTCGATATTATTTGGAATGAATCAAACCCCCAAGACGAGCGGGCGTATTATCGGCCTAATTATTTTGATATTGTGCTTCCTGTCTAAAAATGTGTCATTTTCCCTTAGAATCCTCCAAATTTCGGGAAAATACCTTTTTTCACACATGCCAACAAGCAGAGGATAGTGCAATATGAAATTGTTCCGATAAGGAACAACGCGGCAACAAGCAATAGAATATTGGTCTGAAAACATTTGAAGTTTCCAAATGGAATTTCGTAAAACTCGCTACAGAATACACAAGCATATCAAGAGGAGTCATCTCGCGAGGAATATCGAACTCGGATTGGTCGGTCTTTTGATCGCAAAGATCTCCGTCATAACCTGCATAGCAGCGACAAGCATGAATAATTTTCTCATTGATGTGACGACATCTTTCAATAATAAACTTGCTCTTAATATTTGGGCTCGAGCACCTTAATGTCATATTCATAGGAATGGGACCATTTAATCTCAAACCGAGCGCGAACCATCGTTCCCATCACACATGCTTGAAGTTGAGAGCAATCATCGCCGGTGTATAATGAGCGACAACGGCATTTTCCTAGGGAATTGATTCCCGAAAGAGTTCCAGCCTCGTAGCATTTCTTCGGCGAGACAAGGTAACCTCAAATCATCAAAGAATTCGACTTTGAACAAGACAATGTTGACAAGAGGATCGCGTTTTTTTCTAATCTATGTCGCTCCTTATGAGAGATAAGAATTGAAGGGTATCAAACTGGTCGTTGCCTAGCGAAATTCGGTGCGAACAGAATGACAAAGGCCGATTATTGAATTTCGGTCGCGATTTTTAACAAAATTTTGTAATTAATAGTGGAATTCGAGAACATGAGTTGGCAAAAATTCAATCCATTAATTCGCTAGAAATTTGTAAGATTCAAACAAATGATAAATGCAGAGAAAATTTAAAAAAAATAGGAAAGATAAAAATTAACATAAAAATGCAGAAAAAAATATGATATTTTTTTTCCGTTCTTTCTGCTTTAAAAATTTTTTTCTATTTCTTTCTTTTTTTCTCTGATAATTCGAACATTCTTCCACAATTATTGTTTCAATACCACTAATAACAAGACACAAAGCTCACTTAATCAAAATTAAATAATTGTATTGCATCAGTAATATGAAATGTCCATTGTTCGACATACCGCTAAGGAGTGGAAGAATTGCCACGAAGAGAACAAAATGAAACGGACGCATCGATAGAAAAGTGGAACTAATACTGATAAATCAGTCCCTTTTTATGTAGTTTCTTATCAGGAATTGATGGGAAACCGGGGCGGTGGCATACAATATTCGTTTATTATTGCGTCAACAACTACATCGGCTACATGGGCAATATGTACAAAAATAATTATTATTCAATGTCGCTCTCGTCTCTAGCAAGTTGCGAGTCCTGAAAACAGAATGTTGGTAATATTACGGTTCATAAAATTCGACGAACGCTTTCTCCATAGTATTCGACATCTTCTTGGTGTGTTGGGGTCATGGGTAACGGCGAAGAAGCGTCGAAGAACTCATCGCCAGTCTCAATAGAATCAGCAATCGTTGTATAGAGATTATGACGACGATGACCACGAGGAAGTCTAAAAATAGATTCAACCAAAGTAGTGACAATTGATGCTTTAAGAGACGGAATCGCCTATTGTAACTTAATCAAAAGAAGCTGTGAATGAGGCAACATCAATTTTCTTCATTTATATAGCGTGAACATGTTACCTTATGTTCAAAATTGCTAGTTTTGCTCTTAACTGATAAGATAATCAAGGACCAAGGAAACATACTTCGCAGAACATTTGCGATAGGCAATGTAAATAACTCGATAGCACGATATTTTGATATGCTCTAATATACTTACGACAATACTTGGGGTCTTGAAACTTCTTGTCGAATGAGATCTTCCTCGGACAGTTCGCCTTCTGTGTGTTGACGAATACGTGGGACCGTAAAGGAAATTCGCTCAGAGGAATCAATGTCTGATTCACCACCTGAGTGAAAATTTCAATTAAAATTTTAAACGAATAAAAACCATCGATTTGAATAGTCGGAATTCCGCGAGAACTATCCTCGATCGACATTTTCCTCTTCTCTCTTTTCATATATTGTCCAGGAGTTTTTCGAGCCGAAATTGGGCTACCAATCTGCAATAAAAAACCAATTAGGTTGTTAGGCAATTAAGTGTTACCAATGGAACGCTGTGATCATCATCATCATCGCTATCAGCATCACCATTTTTTCTCAAAATTTTTGCAAGTTTCCGATTCATATCGCTTAGAATACTCATCTCGTCTTTCTATAATTTCAAATTTCATAATCTAATCAATTTCACAGTTTGATACATGACGAGCTTCAATAGCTTTCATTCTCATTTCCAATTCTCGAATCTCCTCCTTCAAACTCACTTCAATCGTCGTGATGTTGGAGATTCTTAAAAATCAGTCAAAATTCAATTGTTTCCAAACTATACGAAGTCACCTATTCAATATTGCATCGGTTCTTTCGGCAGTCCTGTGTATTCTCTCCTCGTTCGACGTCAAATGTTTCTTTTCAGTTTCCCGTTTCATATCATCAACGCATTCCTCCTCAAACGCGTGCACTCGTTCCATTTCATCGTTGGTCAGGAATAGTTCTGAATTCCTTCGTAAACACGAGATTTGTGGCAGATCACAATACTTAAGGATGTATCGAACAAATTCTTCTTCACAAATATATTGGAACTATTTCGCAAAAGCTTCAGTAGCCAGTAGATATGAAATAGAACAGTGAATGGCGGAGGAAGCCAAGGTGTCGATTCGTATTCCATTACCTGAAATACGCATTCACCAAAAATTTGATTATTTTCGTTTCAATTTGTAGAAGCAATTTCAAATGACTTGCCTGTTGATATCTATGGAACAAGAAAATTTCCTGTGTGCTCATGATGTGCTTCTCAAAAATATATGTACAACTAGCCACCATCACATTCATCAGCAGCACATTTGCGGCAAGCATAAATACGGTCAAACCGACAGGCGCAATCCAATAACCAGGAACGCAGGTCTCGTCTGGAAAGTTCAAATATAAATTCTTAATTAAATTGAATTGCATACGTGTAACATTCAGCATACTTATCGGAATATTCTCGTCCTCGTGTGTATCCCAAACTGAAATATTAAAATTGTCTACTTTGAATTTAGAAGAAAATAATACTTTCATCTCCGCACGTGTCAATTTCGTCTGCATACACTTCTCCGTAAAGCATGAAATAAGGATGAAGAAAGATGTTTCTAAATTTTGAACAATTCTTAATAAATCAATTCATTTTTCACACCTGACTAGAATCCAATGCCAATCTTCATTGGGATATTTTATTCCTTGTTGCAGGAGACCAAATGAGTACAACGTTATAAAAACGAGTACGCATAACGGGACCATTGAAGGAATCTAAAATTTTTTCTCAAAAGCCATCTACTATTTTATATTAATTCTACCATTTCGGCGACCATTGAAATATAAGGGCCGAGTGTTGGCTGAACAGTAAGATAGTCAACCAATTTCAAAGACCACATGACGGAATTGCAAATCAAAAGAATTCTTCCAAGTGTTCTGAAATGAGCATTGATGAATAAGGCTTTAAGTCGATAATTTCGATACCTTGTTCCCGGATTTATACGAATAATGTAAGCTATTAAAAACGTAGCCAATGCAAACGCTAACGACCCGTTTCGATACGACATAAAATAAACTTTGAGTTGTTTGAGTATTGGTTTCGTTAAATCCATTAAAACCATCGAAACCACCTTCAAGTATCGAAAAATTATTTTTAGAACTATCAAAAATTACTCTTCGACATATTTCCATTGTCCACACGAGAATATAGGCAAATGAATACCATTCTGACCAGCTGGCAACTCTAAAAAATTGACATGAGTCTCTTGTGACCCTAGAATGAAATCCATTAAAATGATATCGTACCTTTGGGTTTTGACAAGCAAATTGTAGGTAAGCAAAAGAAGAAATACAATAAATGCAAAAAACCAGAGCCAATAGGTCGTGATTGGAGCATTGTAGAATTCCGAAATTTTTCTTTTCCAAGACAGTGTACGATGCTGAAAATTATGATATATATTGTTCGAATTGCAATTAAATAAAACCATATAAACTGGACTATATTTTTTCATCTCATTTCTTGTCGTCAAATTATCCACATTCACAAACGACGGTTTTGCTATTGATTTTTTTCGTTCTGGAATTTAATTCGTTTATAAACAATACTCGTTTTTGATTGAAATCTCACTTCTAACTTGTATTTCTTCTTCGTCTTGATCAGATTCTCCGCCTTCGTCGCCAGAAACATCAATTTGGATACTGGCCACATTTTGAGATGAATTTTTGCGTTTTTTGACAGACATGGTACGAGCCCGACTACGATTTGAAGCTATTCCAGGAGCGACGACCATTCGATTCGGACCCAATATTTTCTTTTCAGAAGTATTCATCTTACCACGCGAAAGCTATAAGAAATAAATCGCTTGGGGCGAAAATTAAAACGTAAAACAAGAAAATTACTTTTGATATACTCAATGGTTGGTCATTTTCGAAGTCATCATCATGATCAGTTTCTGAACAGGAGGAATCCGTGCAATCATTTTCAATAGACGATGCATCAGAATCACTCAGCTCCTCTTCGTCCTGTTCATGCTCTGCAGCAGTTTTCGGTTGCAGCATGAGTTGTTCTCTGGTTTTGAATCCAAGAAGAAATATTAAAGGAGGTGTCAGAAGGCAACCCAAAACCTACAAAACCCAATTTTTTAGTGGTGTACCATGATAAACTGTGTCATACTTTTGCATTTTGGTTACTCTTCATTAGTAATCCTCCTTGCCACAGATCGGACAGTAACATTTGGCATGTCGGATGCGCCAAGAACTTGCGATGGCCGTTATTTGCAGCAAGCGATAGACATGTTTCGCCTCCCCAATTGTTGAGTTCGCAAGTCAAAAGACGAAATGTCATATCTCTACTATGTTTTGTGCAATATTCCAAAACTTCAACCGCTAATTCCGAAAACTCTCTTCAAAACTAATTGCGATATAAATTAAACTAGTCAAACCAATCATACTGGCTGTATTCGGTAAAATCCTGACTCATTCCGATTTCTCCAGTCGCCAATGATGCCGTTTCAGACATAGAGAGGTACAATCTGCATGTGACCAACGCTTTTGCCATTTGCTCTTCGCCATGTCTCCACATTAATTTTGCCAATTTTTGACGTTTTGTCAGTACCGCCCATATTAGAAGCTCGCTGTATGGATACTTGAACGTGAATTCGTCATTATCTTCGTCATCCATATGTGAGAAGTCCTCATCTTAAAATAATTCACTTATTTTAAAATTAGAACATTTGAATAATTCAAGATAAAACTGTTATTCGCTAAAAAAAACCTTGATCGTTCGTATTTTTCTTATTCCCAAATAGATGAATCAACGAAGTTTTTGCATTTTTGATGAGTGTGAGTTGCATCGAAGACATTCCTTCTCCACCCGTTGGCACATGTCCAATTCCGTTGTTTGGAGATTTTTTAAACTAAAAATAAGTAATGCGTTTCATTGGAAATTTCAAAAACTCACAATCTTTCGATTACAGAACAAACAGTATTTGTTTTTGAATTCCTCCTTTGTATAGTTCGATTTATACAAGTTGCCCATCAATTCTTCAATCAGCTTTCCAATCTGTATGTCTTTTGTATCACAATAAAAGTTGAAGCAAGATTATTTAACCTCCGTCAACTTGATGTGGTGCTTCGAATTAACCAACAGATTTGTGCGTAGCGTATTTTGTGGTCCCTTGTCCTATAAAAAAATAATTTTGAATCGAAATTTTTTCAAAGGCTACCGTATTGTATAGGAATTCGAGACGACCAAAAGTAAGGAAATTTTGCATCGAGACCCCATTTTCAAGCAAAAGTTGCACAAAATCTATGCGATCGTTTGCGAGAGCCTCCATCATTGCGCTATGCAAGTCTTGTGTTTCCCATTCCTAAGATAATTTGATTTCAAAATGTGCGCAACTCGATTTCACATATAAATAGAATTTTTTTCTTATAAATAACACAAAATCCGAACCGTTCCATTGGCAAAAATCTCGGTTCTCGCAATATCTGCTCTGTTCCAAGCGAGAGCCAATTGAAGCTGTTCTCTTGGCGATAAATTTTGACCTTTTAGCAGACAACTCATTATCGCATGATCAAGATCCTCTCGTTGAGATTCTCCAAGGCGGAAAATCGACATCTACAAAAATTTATATGTTTAATATACGAATCAAGTACAAAATAAATTGCTGCAATTCCTCCTTCTGGCAATTAAAATCTGCGAAGTGAATACGTGTTGTTCATCTTTTGAATAAATGTGAAAAAAATTCTCTTTTCCAAATGTTATATGTTCTACACTTGTTAGCAATTAGTACCAGTAATTTATTCGATGTGCATTCCGAGACTTGTTTAATCAGCTTCTGCGCATTTTTATCATCATATCCAAAAACTCTGCGAACAATATTAGTGAGTTGTGAGCGAATATTTTCCAACAAGAAACCATCGGGTGAGACCGTTTGATGCGCAAATGCCAAAATATCGGCAGCACGTCCACTACCATCGCACACAATTACCGGGATTCGAGGTATTCTAGAAATATTCATTCGAAATTTCGAATATTATTATAGTTATTTCATACGTTGTAACATAATCATGCACCATTTTGATAGTAAAAGCTCCACCTTCCAAAACAACACAAATCAAGGGAATGGCTCCTCTTCTGCGATCACCTTGCACCAAATACGTTTCCAATCTTTTTCGCATTATAATTTCAGCCCCATATCTTCAATATTATCGTTTCTATTAAAAAATTTGAACCGTCTACCTGTTAACAGTGCCATTGTCAGAAAATAAAAAGTATGAATGACGATCGTTCAACTCTTTCAATCTTGAATTATTATAGATATTTGGCGCATAGGTAACCGTGTTATCCTGAACTCCAATACTCAATTACATACTCGAATTGAAATGTACTTTTCCATTGAAGCGCCCTCGATGCTTAAGCATTCCCCATGGCGCAATACCTATTGCGACTACATGATTATTGGCCGTCTGACTTCCATGATCTACAAATTTTACATTCCAAGATTATAAATAAATTAGATGCTCTTATCATCCCTAAAATGTATTCGCTAGTCTTTGAAAATTATTTCAATATTCGTTTAATTAAATATGATAAGATAATTCCGGAATACTGATAAAGTTTGATGGATCATGCTGATCGATGGTAATGTTTCTGAGCGTTTCATGAGGTTTAAACGATAAGGGCCTTTCTGGAGACAATAAATGCATAAGAATTTTGATATCAGAATTCGAAAGTTGATTACAGGGTTAATGTTTTTTTGTTTATCTCTTTCTATTCTTAATTTTTTGAGACCTTGTAATGCTGAGGCGACATGCTTGACGACTCCTTCATCTAAACCGGATGTGATAATCCAGGCATCGGTCGATTTGGCAATCTTCATGATTCCCTTGCGGAATGATCGCGCCAATTTCGGCTGCAGACTGCAAGTTCATTTAATTCGCCGATAATCAGTGGAATGACGACAGCGAAATTTTCGCGATAATGAATTTTTTAAAGCGTCTTACTCGAATTTTGTGAGGCCCCCATGAACTGTGATTATCAGTTTTGGAGGTCGAATCTTCCACACTTTCGTCATTAAATGCACAATATCGCGGGGCTCAGTGTCAAAACTCACACGAGCATACTGCACGTGATGGGTGGTGCCTTAATACTTAGGTTTCCTATCAGTTAATAAAGAAGTTTACCTTCGAATACAATTGAACCATATGAACTTGTGGGAACCAGCTCAGTATCATCTTTAATTGACCATCGTTGTGGAGTTATTGTAATCTGAAAAGCTTAAATCATATTCATATAAAAATACTTAAATATACTTGTGGTTCGTTTTCACAATCAGTTGACACTTCGACAATTCCAGGTAGGGTCAAATGGGTTGATCGAATTTTCGAGTTGTTCAACACTTCTGGTGAATGCTTTGATTTTTCTCTTCCGCATCCACAACGCTCAGCGAACCTATTCGTTGGAACGAAATACGAGCATTCTCGCATTTTCAGATGTGCTTCTATCCATGGTCGACCCTTCTGAAATTATTAAATCGTTTTTTTTATAACAGTATTTAATTTAACCATAGAATTAGCTCGTGTCGCATGACCGGAATGACTTGTAGTTGAATTTCCACGCTGAAAATGTTAATGATTTATTGAAAAACAGCAACAAAATAGCACCTTTCTTCCAGAAATATCGGCAAGGTGGAGCATATCCTTCCAGTCAAATTTTTGAACATGCCGAGGTGCAGAACTCAAGGGAGCATCATCTGAAACGATTCACTAAATAAATATCGGCGATCAGATGAGTTTTTTGGCGTGTTGTCTATATGAAAGAAAAAATCTTGGGGGATATTTAAAACTGCCCCGCTGCATCTCTCAAACTCGAAAGCCACCTTCATTTCTCCCGTAGGGGTTCCTACGTTGTGAAAATATACATAATTTTTATCGCATTGAAAACTTTTACTTAATTAATCAATTCATGAAATGTAATTTATTACATGTTTTGCAAAAAGAGTACATTTTATGAATAGGTCCATAAGAAAAAGAAAAGAAATAATTGAAGAAATGATAATGAATAAATTTATCCAAACATTTTCGCAGTGGGACCAGTGTCTTTTCTAATTCATGCGTCTTAAAATATACTGTATATTTCGATAATTATTCCGGACAGGCCTATTCATTTTTTATTCACATTTCATCAAGGGGTTCGAATTTTTACCTGCGATCATGAAGGTTTTGTTTTTTATATTTCAAAAAAATAATAAAACGAACTACTAGATTCAGATTGCTGTTTCTTGCGTCTCCGATTTTTCTGCAATTTTCCAGTTTCGTCATTTTCATCGACACCACGAAGAATATCTTCAGCAACTTTCTAAATCAAAAACAGTGAGTCCGATAATTATTTGACGAATGCGCGTACGTGTATACTAGGAATTGTACTCCCAAGTTCTTTGTCCATCGAATTTCTGAAACACCAATCGCGCCAAATTTATCGCCAACAGTTTCAAAATTTTGTAGTTTATCACAAAGTTTGAATCTTTAATAAATTATTGCGGGAAAGTTAAAATTTTTATGAAAGACTTGGTAAGTGACAGTGACATTAAAATGTGATAAGAAAATACACAAGCCAAGTGCAGTTTTCGTTTATTAAGATGAAACACGAGAGGCGTGATAAAATGATTATCGAAACCCATAGATGATAGGCTTATACGTTAATTCAGCAAGTATGGGTATTTTTGAAAGTCAAACCACTAGATTATTTTCAGAAAAATTATCTCCAATATTTCATTGAAAATGATACCGCACAAAATTGGGGTTTACGCGTTTCTTTTGTCATTTTGTAATTTCGGCTATTATTATTTGAATTATTATTTATTTTTCTTATCATTTTAAGTAAAAATGGTGTGACCGAATAAACGAAAGATTAAATCGCTGCCCAATAGAATTTTAAAGAAGACACACATTTTAGAAAATGGGAAGTGCGTTACGATTATTTGAAAAACTTGAGTTTAAACATTTTTCGGGCAATGAGAAAATGTAAACTAAAAAATTGAATCAGGTTTTAAGGACAATAATAAAACAAAATATTCATATGATGCTAATTATTGTGTATAAAATAATTAAATTGTTTCCGAGATGCCTCATTACCCAAAGTCGAGCCTTGTTTACATAGATATCAACAGAGAAAACTATGATAAGCGAGGTTTATCTTTGAAAATCGAATTCTAAAACTCATGACTAATGTATATACATTATTCGAGATAAATTTAACCGAAGATGATAAGGTTCCTACTGAGAAAACGCGTAAAATCCTGCGAAATTCTTTGAATTTAACGATTGATTTATATTATGAAAAAGGAAAGTGACCAAATTAATCAGTAGCCACAACGATGTGGGGTGTCCTCGTATCATTATTTAATTATCACACTTTTGCGTCATAATTTAGAATCATGGGCGCAAAATTTTGAACTGCTATCAAACTTTTTGGATTCATCAGGCATTTATTGGACTTCTCTGAACTTTGTTTTTAAATGGAGTTGTTTTGAAATGGGGAAAACGTTTGAAAAAAAGTATATTCAGACTATCAATTGTAAACTCGATCAGCATATTTTCTTATTCCAACTCAGTCATCGTGGTGATTTCTGTGAAATATTTTGGCTAATAACTATAAATTTCCATTCTTACAAAACCATAGAATTGTTTGAAAAAAACTGGCCCGTCCTCCATTTTTAATTTTTTTTCAGTGAAATCGAAAATTGTTTACCCGCAAATTATCCTTCCATGATATAAAACATGTGGCACATTAAACTAGCCAATGATTCCGTTCTAGAATCTCTGAGCTTGTTTCGTTTCCCCCTGCTTGTGTGTGTTTTTTAATAGGACTTCTTGATATTCCGCATTATATTGCGACCGGCAACATTCACCCCGAACAAATATTGCACAGAGTGCGTTCTCGGCTTCTCATCTCGCCGATTTTTTTTTCCTTTACGAGAAGTGTGATTGTGTTGTGTATATGTGTGTGTGTGCTGGTGCAACGGTCGGCTCCACACGATTTTTTGTAAACAGCGAAAACAAATTGCGCGAAAAATGTGGTGTTTCAGAAGTTTCAATTAATTTTCGAATTTTCTATTCGATTCATTCTTCATCTATGACCGTGAGGAGATATCTCCGTCATGTATACCCGTCTTATCATTTCGTCGTCGTGAATTGAAAACCGAGCGTTCGTGGTGTAATGGTCAGCATGGATGCCTTCCAAGCATTCGACGGGGGTTCGATTCCCCCCGAACGCAGATGAAACTTTTTTATTTCATCAATGACACTTATTTAGAAAGTCAAAGGCATATTTTGTGAGAGATGAGAGGCGTGTGTCCAATGTTTGTCCACAAAGCACCTAGCAAGCCAAAACGTGCGCTCCGACATCACTATTTCGAATAGCTTCGAATGGTATTTCATGCCGATTTGTGTTCTTTTTTTTGATAGTTTAATTGCGAAATTGCACCACAAACCTGCGGAGAATGTGTTCGGATAACTTCTGAGAATGTCGAAATGGACTAGAAAATATGAATGAATCATTAGGCAAATAACGATACGCAATCGTGTTAGTTTAACAACATGCGAATTCTTGACGTTACGTTTTTCTCATGAATTCCATTGATTTTATTAATAACAATTATCCGTATGACATGAATAATCAGAATAATCAAGTATTGTTTTGTAAACTGTCTAGTCTTGATATTGAACATGCGATAAATAAAATTATTTTGACCTACTTTTGTCTCAATATATGAGGTCAATTTTTTGGGCAATATCTGGTTTTGGGCTTTCACTGAACTTTTAACAATCACCGCTTGACTAAAGTCAAAATTGCATCATTATGTACTTTGTCTTATGGAGTTGCTTAACAACTAAAAAAGCTTTAAAGTTTCTAAGCTGAGAACTATCAAATTTTTTTGGCATTTTTTGTCGAAAGAAAATTGGAGAATTGTCTGATTTCTCGCCAAGAGTAGAACCTAAAACAATTGTTTTTTTTTTCATTAACTGTCTGCCAAACAAACGGAAGGAGTGTGAATTGAAATCAAGAAAATTTTGAATGTTGCTCTGCTGACCTTCGATTGTAATCGTCGCTTAATAATGGTCCAGTGAACACCTGCCAAATCGGTACCTGAACAACTACAATTTGCGACAAACCAATTTTATGTCCACAGCATCTGCCACGTGACCTTCGTCTATCTTATTTATGCAAATTTCAAAAATATATTCTAATCATAAGATAAACTTTTTTTTAAATTTGTTTCCACCATTTGGTGTTTTCTCCATTATTTTGCAATCTATTTCTAAAAAATTATTAACAGCTGAGTCGTCATTAATTAAATGAAATATGCAGGAGGGGCCTCTCTAAGCTTTGCATTCTGCACTCGACTCAAGAATATATTGATATCCTTTTTTATGTTTATTTCTGTCCACTCATTGCATGGCAGCAATTTTTATTCCATGATCCTTTAACTACAGTTACTAAATATTCCATTACATTTCGCTTACATTGGTCACTTTAATTACTTTGTTCTACTGTTCCCTCGTGGTGAGAAATAGTGTAAAACAGACAAAGTCATCAAAATGCTCGATTGAACTTTCTGACCCTCTCACAAGTCAGTGAAGAGACTGATTCTACGATTTGCCGATTTTCGTGTCTTTCTCAGTTTGTTTTTAATTTTAATTTTTTAAAATTATTTTAAGCTAGTGTATGTTTTTATGGAGCGTACAGGGTGTCATTTAAGTTCCCGCACAAAAGTTTGACGCCATGAAGAGCTTGGCTGTCGCACTTTTCGTGCACCAATACAATTTATTTTTGTTAAATAAGGTATATTTTACTTACTTTCCAAGTTTTACCTCATTCGGATGTGTTTCCGAGAAATGGCGAAGGCTAACATCCATTGCGCTTCCATTATCGAACTTCATAAGCAAAATGTGAGCCTGAGAGACATCATTCAACGCCTCGGTGTGCCTCTTAGAACGGTTTACGACATCATCTAACGTTTCAAGGAACTAAATACGACCAGTGACCGTCCCAGATAAGGAAGACTCGTCTCGGTAACCACTCCTCAGAAGTTCAACGCCGTTAAATCGAAGATCAGGCGATACCCACACAGGAGCATGAGAAAGATGGCGTCAGACGTGGAAATGAGCATCTTCGCTTTGGAACAAATCGTCAAAACGAAGCTTGGACTGACCCCATATCGTGTCCAAAAAGCGGCAATTCTATCGGCCGCCAACAAGTAGAGACGCTTCGAAAAAGCAAAACGACTTCTTGCTCGCACGCGGTCTGGAGAACACCTCGTCACTGTCTTCTCCGACGAGAAGCTGTTCAGTGTGGATGCGGCATTCAACTCACAAAACCATCGAGTACTTGCCCAGACATCCCAGCAAGCTTCTGAGAAAGGAAGAACATATCATCCAGCCTCACATCCTGCCAGTGTGATGGTTTTCGGTGCCATCTGCTCAACCGGGAAGTGCTCCCTGGTTTTCGCGGATCAGGGGGTGAAAGTGAACAAAGAAGTCTACGTTCGGGACATTTTGGAGAAGCATGTGATGCCCTGTACCCAAACGCATTTCGGTGGGCAGAAATAGGTTTTTTAACAGGACGGAGCACCCGCCCACACTGCCAAAACTACTCAGGAGTGGTGCCAGACCCATTTTCCCGACTTCATCAAGTCATCCGAATGGTCTGATTGCTCCCCAGACCTGAACCCGCTTGACTTTTCCGTGATGGGGTCTTGCAGGAGAAGGTCAACGCAAAACCCCACTCAAGTATAGAGGCTCTGAAGAAGACATTACTGGCGGAATGGGACAATCTTTCCATCGAATACCTGCGTACCACAGTCACATCCTACCCGAAGCGTCTCCGTGAAGTCATAGCTGCGAAAGGAGACCGAATCAAAAAGAGTTAATAGATAATTATTTGTTATACTATAGATAAAAAATATTTCGAGTCTCGTTTGATTTGGACTTTTAGTTTCAGAAATATATGCCTTCAAAGTTGTGCGGGAACTTAAATGACACCCTGTAGTTATTTATGGAATGTGTAATCTTAGTCCAAATCCTATTTCTCATTGAAACGTGCCAAAATTATATCGTCGTTCTTCTCTTCTCATCATGAAGTTTTGTTTGGCATACCCTCTCGTACGTCTGAACAAAACTTTTCAGCTTGCCGTCGCTCTTCGAATAAAAAAGCCGAAGACCGATCGGCATGCGCGTGCGCGTCCATAATAATTGCATTCGGGCCGTCCGCGGGAGGCGAATAGACGCGGGACTATGAAGAGAGTTGGCATGAGAAAACGACGGCGAAACGCGAGATGAACTGTCCGTCAGAGGGCCCATCAGAAGCTCGCGTACAGTCTTGAAGAAACTGCAGACGGCTCGACTAATGTGTGTGTGTGTGTGTTTGAGTGTAATGCTTGTAGA